GGGGCCCTTACACACAGACTCGTTTACGCACAGACGCTTTTACACAGAAGATTTTGATGTTTTTGCACGGAGAAGTCTTTACACAAAGGAATCTTTTGCACGGAGAAGTCTTTACACAGACGAAGCTTTTACACAGAGAAGTCTTTACACAGAGGAGCTTCTACACACAGAAGGTTTACATACACGCACACAGAAGCTTTTACAGAGGAGTCTTTACACAGAGGAGCTTTTACACACAAACGCCTTTACACACGGAAGCTTTTACACGTCTTTACACAGAGGAGCTTTTGCACACAAACTCTTTTATACAGAGAAGCTTTTGCACAAAGAAGTCTTTACACAGAGGATCAAAGAGGAGCTTTTAAACACAGAAGGTTTTGCACGCAGAAGCTTTTCCACAAAGAAGCTTTTACACTGAGGAGCTATTTGCAAACCCTTGCCACGACGTTGAATCGCAATTTTACACCAGTTTTTGACATGCATTTCGTGCGAAAGGGCGGCGCCGTCACCCACAAAATTCGCAGTTCACCACACGTTTGTGCGTCCGACATGCGCGATCTCCGCAGAGGATCATGTTTCGCAAACAGGTTTTTGGCTGCCCCTGCTGCCTGAAGAAAAAAAAAGAAGAACTTGGGAAGTAGGAGTTTTGTAGGAGTTTTCAGAAGTAGATCACCTAGAAGTTAACTTCTGTGTAACAACTCCCGTAGAACAACTCCTGTGACCCCTGTGTAAGAACTCTTGTGTAAAACTCCTTTGTAAGAACTCCTGTGTGAATAACATGATGTAGATAATTAATATGTGTGATGTAGATGAAGTTCATTGAAGTTGATGTAGATGATGTTTGCGATGTAAAGGATGTGGGAGATGACGTGCGCATGATTTGAGAAATTGATTTTGGCAGCAGTTCTTTGGGAAAAACCCTTCGCAGGAGCTTTCGGGAATAAAAGCACTATTACCATATGATTTACAAAGATCCTATTATGTTAGAACTTTAAAACATGTACCAGTATATATTGCATCAATATACATCAATCATGTAGTAATCACCCACGGTCAGTCAAAGGTTCCCAACATGTCCAAGCAAATGCGTTCTCCAAAGCTAGCAGCGACCCTTGCTGTCGCAGCAGTTCCCTGTACTGAGCAAGGCATCAAAAAGCTGAAGGATGAAATGACTTGAATCATCTTGAATCTATATGAATCTTTTCCTGCATGAGTTCCACCGGACATCCCAAACACTCAGTGGTCTTGTGGTTGCTATCAGGTGATCTCAATTTCCAGCCCAATCCTGTTTCAGGTGACCCAGCCATAGCACCCGCCAGCCATCAAACATGGCTGATATGATGCTAGAATGTGTGGAGTTGCTCACGGGGTGACATGCAATGATGCGTTGCAAGGAAAACAGGTGTCTGCTAATGGCACCTAGGCTCAAACATCTCAAACACCCCTGCAATGAATGACCTCAAAGAATCTTAAAGATCAAGTCTGCGCATTTGGTATTGGCTTTTTTTTGGCATAGTAATGATGAAACCTGTCCCAGCATGGAGAAGAAACAACAAGCACATGGGTGAGCAACGAGGCAAGGCTCAACTCAGAGGAGTAAACAGCGAAACATGAAGAAACTGATGCTGTCACCCCAGCGCAGCGCCAAGGTTTCAAACTCATTTTGTGATTGCCGATCTAGATGATCTAGCAATCCGCATGACCCTGGCTGATCGCTGTGCCTGGTGGCTTCCTGAGATATTGCAGGTTTCAATTCATCTTGAACCAAAACCATGCAAGAAGACACGATGAGAATGGAAAGACAGATTTTTGTGAACACGTCACAGATGTCACAGCATGTCTGAGATGCACGTGCCAGTACACACACAAAAAAAACATATATGTATACACATACACCTAAATACACTTTTTCTCTTGACCACCCCTCAAACATAATCAACATCATAGAAACGTTGCGGCCAAACACATGTTTGGGGTCCCTGGAAATGTTTTAACATACGTATTATATAATATTGCCAAACAGTGCCATAATTGAAAACGAATCCATGTTGAGAAGTGTATTCATGGAAAGCTGTCTGGAAATGGAGATGTATATTATTTTTACATTTGAAGTGATTCTCATTTGATTTTGACTGGTTTGACTGTATTTGAATTTGATTTGAAATGGAACTGGGACCGAGTTGAATTGAACTTATTTTGGATCAAATTTGAATTAATTCTAAGCACTTCCACGCGCTTCCGTTTAAACTTGAAATGGAATCTAATTTGTTTAAAATTGAGTTTCTTGACCTTTCTTTGATTTTAGGTAGGTTCCCAAAATTGAAGCACTTTATTTAGAGGGCCACCATGGTAAGGTTTGGCTCTTCAACAGAGTTGAGATAGCAAAAGTAATTTACTAGGGGTTGTAGAAAATTGAATAATTATATTGAGCCTAAATCCCCACAGAAAAATTGAGTAACTTTATCAAGGGTGGCAAGGCATTGAATTTATTGTGGTTCCGAGGTGCTTTAATGCTCACCCCTGCATTTGTCCTCTTTTTGAATAAGGGGGTAATAGATGTTAATAGTTAATCAATAAAGAAATCAATCAAGCGTACTAGCATTGCCGGTTCAAAGCGGCCTGCGCCGATCCACCGATTAAGGAGTCCAAAAGGAGTCTGGGATCGGGTGGGCCAGAGTCCGCGGGGATATCGGGTTATCGGGTGGACTCTCGGTTTATCGGCTTATCGGGGGAAGCAAAATTCAAACCGGCGTTGCCAGTTCAATGGATATTTATGGATTTTGAAAGGGAAAGGGTTGAAGTACTTTAGCTGAACCAGAAAAATTAAGGGCAAACGGATTTAAACTCTCTATTTAAGGGCCCACCACATTAAAAGAACTGGGAAAAAAGGATCAAAAATATATGTTGGCGTACTTTATTACAGGGTGGGTTTATTCATCTGTCCCGGATTTGACTCACTTTAGTGTAGGGGTGGTTATTGACCTGATGTGAATGTTACACACACATATATATATATATAATGCCAACAAATGTATATACGTCTATCTATATACACATACATATATGTACATAAAAATCTCTCATCATCATATAATATATTTATACATATATATATATAAGTTAATGGATGACTCTATTTATAATTTATAACATACATGTCGAGTTGGCTTGCCACACAGGTGGGCACAAAGTTCGCAAAATCTGTCCATCCACTTCCGTCAAGCACCAATGCAGTTGACCGCATCAGTGTCGACTCAAAGAGTCATTCTTCAGTCCATGCCCATTGAACCCTGGATGAGTTCATGGGTCACCGCTTCAAGTCCTCCAGTCCTGATCCAAGAAAACAAATATAAACAAATTATATAATATAAAATACGTAGCTCATGTCCTCATTGGAGATTTCAAGTGAGCAATTATATGTAGAATAGTGGGCCCGTCAGTTCATGGGAATGAAGGTGAGCTGGTGCACCCCAGGTCACCAGGGGTACCAAATGAGCTTGGAACTAACCGTGGCCTTTGAGCCAAGGTCATCAATCACCAAAAGGGCAGCCATGCACAGCCGTCAGCTCAAAAATTAATGGACTGAGTATCGAAATATCTGGTCACAAGGGCCTCCCGCAAGGCCACAAGTCGGGGCAAACCCTTTTCGAAAAAAGGTGTTGACATAATTCAACGCAACTATGGAATATCACATTGTAAATACTCTATAATCCCTTCCTCCTAATACTAAACGTCCCCCTAATACTAAAAACAGGCATCCATCTCCAATTTCCGAAAATTTCAGTTTGGCCAATTTGACTTTTAATTGATCCCCTTTAAAAAACAATTCAAAAATCAACCTGCCATTTGTGGGTTCTCCCCCCTAATACTAAAAACTAATTCATCCCGGGGTGTTTAGTATTAGGGGGGCTAGTCCTACTCCCCAAATCCAAGCTGCCTGGCTGGTCTAGCTGCCTGCATGTTTTGCTGCAAGGAACTGTCTGGCTGCTTGAAAAGCCACCCCTCTGCCTTGCTGTCTGCAAGGTCTTGCTGAGCTGGCTGGAGTCTTGAATTTGGAAGATCCCATAAACACCTATGTTAAGGGTTTCCCTTAATTTTAGGGGGTTAAAAAACAAATTCAAGACTCCAGCCAGCTCAGACAGAAAGGCAGCCAGCCAGGGATGCCTTTCTGTCTGAGCTGGCTGGAATCTTGAATTTATATTTCCCACCAAAACAACAGCAATTATTGGTAATTATTTAAAGGTGACCCATGTAATAAGTTAATTACTTTACTATTATTCAAGATTCCAGCCTGCCTCTCCTGCTGCTCCCTTTTCTGCGCTGTCTGCTGGGAGCTGTCTGGCTGCCTAGCTGCTCAGCTGTCTGAGCAGCAGAGCCAGCACCACGAAAAAGGGACGCCTGCCTGTCTGAGGCGCGTCAGCCACGCCTGTCTGGCCACTGCCCATCTGTCTGTCCGCGTCTGCATCTGCTGGCTGTGTCTGCTGACGTCTGCCCCGAAGCTGTACCAGCTGTCCTGAGAGAAGTCTATATATGTGTATATATATAATTATATATATATACTGTTGGGACAATAAGTAATATAATGAGGAGGTGGATGTAGGAGGAGATATATGTGTATAATTCTGACTGTGTAAATATTTAATGATGGCAAGGTAATTAAGGAATTAATGGGGGATGCACATTCTTCGCTGCCTGTCTGATGGACATCATTGCTGCCTAGCTGCTTGGCGGTGCTCCATGCAGCACACCTTTTTCCCCACCAAGTGGAGTTCTTGCTGGATGTCCTGCAAGCTGGTGAGAGCTGCCTGCAGGACCTGGGTCTGCTGTTCCTTGGCTGCACAAGTGGCTCAGCCAAAAAAAAGAAAGAACGCTAAAACAGCTACCTGTTGTGCTAATCACTGCCTGATGATTGGAGATCTGACTTGTCTGGCTGTAAATCACTGGCTGAGGATTGCAAAGGTGCGGTGGCTCTTGGATGAATCTGCACCTCATGGATGAACCTGCCTGGAGCTAGCTTGGCAGCACAGAAGCAGCAGTTTGAGAAAGGACTTTAGAAAGGGAAATGGAAGGAGGTGAAGTAGTTTTTAGTATTAAGGTCTGGTGCTTAGTATTAGGGAGAACCTGCCTGGAGCTAGCCTGGCAGCACAGAAGCAGAAGTTTTAGTAAAGTCTTTAGAAAGGGAAATGTAAGGAGGTGAAGTAATTAGTTTTTAGTATTAAGGTCTGGTGCTTAGTATTAGGGAGAACCTGCCTGGAGCTAGCCTGGCAGCACAGAAGCAGCAGTTTTAGTAAGGACTTTAGAAAGGGAAATGGAAGGAGGTGAAGTAGTTTTTAGTATTGAGGTCTGGTGCTTAGTATTAGGGAGAACCTGCCTGGAGCTAGCCTGGCAACACAGAAGCAGCAGTTTTAGTAAGGACTTTAGAAAGGGAAATGGAAGGAGGTGAAGTAGTTTTTAGTATTAAGGTCTGGTGCTTAGTATTAGGGAGAACCTGCCTGGAGCTAGCCTGGCAGCACAGAAGCAGCAGTTTTAGTAAGGACTTTAGAAAGGGAAATGGAAGGAGGTGAAGTAGTTTTTAGTATTAAGGTCTGGGGCTTAGTATTAGGGAGAACCTGCCTGGAGCTAGCCTGGCAGCACAGAAGCAGCAGTTTTAGTAAGGAGTTTAGAAAGGGAAATGGAAGGAGGTGAAGTAGTTTTTAGTATTAAGGTCTGGTGCTTACTATTAGGGAGAACCTGCCTGGAGCAAGCTTGGCAGCACAGAAGCAGCAGTTTTAGTAAGGACTTTAGAAAGGGAAATGGAAGGAGGTGAAGTAGTTTTTAGTATTAAGGTCTGGTGCTTAGTATTAGGGAGAACCTGCCTGGAGCTAGCTTGGCAGCACAGAAGCAGCTGTTTTAATTAGTAAGGACTTTAGAAAGGGAAATGGAAGGAGGTGAGGTAGTTTTTAATATTAAGGTCTGGTGCTTACTATTAGGGAGAACCTGCCTGGAGCTAGCCTGGCAGCACGGAAGCAGCAGTTTTAGAAAGGACTTTAGAAAGGGAAATGGAAGGAGGTGAAGTAGTTTTTAGTATTAAGGTCTGGTGCTTAGTATTAGGGAGAACCTGCCTGGAGCTAGCTTGGCAGCACAGAAGCAGCAGTTTTAGTAAGAACTTTAGAAAGGGAAATGCCAGCTGGTGAAGTAGTTTTTAGTATTAAGGTCTGGTGCTATGTATTAGTTGAGAACTGCCCTTGCGCTAGCCTGGCAGCCACCGAATCCGCATTTTTGTAGGACTTTAGAAATAGGGAAATGCCAGCTTGGTGAAGTAGTTTTTAGAGTATTAAGGTCTGTGCTTAGTATTAGGGAAGACCTGGCCTGGAGCTAGCCTGTCATCAACAGGCAGGCAGTTTTTAGTAGGGCTTTAGAAAGGGAAATGGAAGGAGGTGGAATTAGTTTTTAATATTAGATCTGGTCTTAGTATTAGTGAGAAACCTGCCTGGGCTATCTTGGCAAGCACAGAGCAGCAGTTTATATAAGGACTTTAGAAAGGGAAATGCCAGCTGGTGACGTAGTTTTTAGTAATTAGGAGGTCTGGTGCTTAGTAAATTACGGGAGAACCTCCTGGAGCAAGCTTGGCATCAAGAACAGCGTTTTTAGTAAAGACTTTAGAAAGGGAAATGCCAGCTGGTGAAGTAGTTTTTAGTATTAAGGTCTGGTGCTTACTATTAGGGAGAACCTGCCTGGAGCTAGCTTGGCAGCACAGAAGCAGCAGTTTTAGTAAGGACTTTAGAAAGGGAAATGGAAGGAGGTGAAGTAGTTTTTAGTATTGAGGTCTGGTGCTTACTATTAGGGAGAACCTGCCTGGAGCTAGCCTGGCAGCACAGAAGCAGCAGTTTTAGTAAGGACTTTAGAAAGGGAAATGGAAGGAGGTGAAGTAGTTTTTAATATTAAGGTCCTGGGTTCTTACTATTAGGTATAACCTGCCTGGAGCTAGCTTGGCGCACAGAACAAGCTGTTTTTTGTAAGGCCTTTATAAAGGGAAATGCCAGGCTGGTGAAGCGTTTTTAGTATTGAGGTCTGGTGCTACTATTAGGGAGAACCTGCCTGACTAGCTTGGCACACAAACATCAAGTTTTATTCAAGGACTTTAGAAAGGGACATGGAAGGAGGGAAGTAATTTTTTAGTATAGGGTCGGTTCTTACTATAGGGAAAGAACCTGCCTGGAGCTAGCTTGGCAGCACAGACGCAGAGCAGTTTTAAGTATTGACTTTAGAAAGGGAAATGAAGGGGTGAAAGTATTTTTCTGATTAAAATTTCTGGTGCTTACTATTAGGAGAACCTGCCTGGAGCTAGCTTGGCATCACAGAGCAGCAGTTTTATAAGACTTTAGAAAGGGAAATGGAAGAGGTGAAAGTAGTTTTGTATTAAGGTCTGGTGCTTAGTATTAGGGAGAACCTGCCTGGAGCTAGCCTGGCAGCACAGAAGCAGAAGTTTTAGTAAAGACTTTAGAAAGGGAAATGCAAGGAGGTGAAGTAGTTGTTAGTATTAAGGTCTGGTGCTTAGTATTAGGGAGAACCTGCCTGGAGCTAGGCTGGCAGCACAGAAGCAGCAGTTTTAGTAAGGACTTTAGAAAGGGACATGGAAGGAGGTGAAGTGCCAGCTGGTGAAGTAGTTTTTAGTATTAAGGTCTGGTGCTTAGTATTAGGGAGAACCTGCCTGGAGCTAGCTTGGCAGCACAGAAGCAGCAGTTTTAGTAAAGACTTTAGAAAGGGAAATGGAAGGAGGTGAAGTAGTTTTTAGTATTAAGGTCTGGTGCTTACTATTAGGGAGAACCTGCCTGGAGCTAGCTTGGCAGCACAGAAGCAGCAGTTTTAGTAAGGACTTTAGAAGGGGAAATGGAAGGAGGTGAAGTAGTTTTTAGTATTAAGGTCTGGTGCTTACTATTAGGGAGAACCTGCCTGGAGCTAGCTTGGCAGCACAGAAGCAGCAGTTTTAGTAAGGACTTTAGAAAGGGAAATGCCAGCTGGTGAAGTAGTTTTTAGTATTAAGGTCTGGTGCTTACTATTAGGGAGAACCTGCCTGGAGCAAGCTTGGCAGCACAGAAGCAGCAGTTTTAGTAAAGACTTTAGAAAGGGAAATGGAAGGAGGTGAAGTAGTTTTTAGTATTAAGGTCTGGTGCTTAGTATTAGGGAGAACCTGCCTGGAGCTAGCCTGGCAGCACAGAAGCAGCAGTTTTAGTAAGGACTTTAGAAAGGGAAATGGAAGGAGGTGAAGTAGTTTTTAGTATTAAGGTCTGGTGCTTAGTATTAGGGAGAACCTGCCTGGAGCTAGCCTGGCAGCACAGAAGCAGCAGTTTTAGTAAGGACTTTAGAAAGGGAAATGGAAGGAGGTGAAGTAGTTTTTAGTATTAAGGTCTGGTGCTTACTATTAGGGAGAACCTGCCTGGAGCTAGCTTGGCAGCACAGAAGCAGCAGTTTTAGTAAGGACTTTAGAAAGGGAAATGCCAGCTGGTGAAGTAGTTTTTAGTATTAAGGTCTGGTGCTTACTATTAGGGAGAACCTGCCTGGAGCTAGCTTGGCAGCACAGAAGCAGCAGTTTTAGTAAGACTTTAGAAAGGGAAATGGAAGGAGGTGAAGTAGTTTTTAGTATTAAGGTCTGGTGCTTACTATTAGGGAGAACCTGCCTGGAGCTAGCTTGGCAGCACAGAAGCAGCAGTTTTAGTAAGGACTTTAGAAAGGGAAATGGAAGGAGGTGAAGTAGTTTTTAGTATTAAGGTCTGGTGCTTACTATTAGGGAGAACCTGCCTGGAGCTAGCTTGGCAGCACAGAAGCAGCAGTTTTAGAAGGACTTTAGAAAGGGAAATGGAAGGAGGTGAAGTAGTTTTTAGTATTAAGGTCTGGTGCTTACTATTAGGGAGAACCTGCCTGGAGCTAGCTTGGCAGCACAGAAGCAGCAGTTTTAGTAAGGACTTTAGAAAGGGAAATGGAAGGAGGGAAATGAAATGCACAACACATTCCAAAAAAGCACCTCTCTCCAATTCAACTGCCTCTGTCAACTGCAACTCTCTTTGCTGCCAAGTTGCTGTCTGGACAGCCAGCTGCACCAAGGCTGCCTGGACCTCGGCTGCCTGGCCCGCTGCTGCCTGCTCCCCCTGAACTGGCTGGCCGTTTGCGTTCATGGCTTCTGAGGCTGTCTTACTGACTTGCGTCTGTTGGCGCTGGCTGCCTGTCTCTGTGCTTGAACCAACAAGCCATGGAAGCTGACTGTCTGTGCACCTGACCCACTGGATGCTGGATAAATACTTACACATTCTAAATAGTTACTAATTACATATAATTACACATATAGTTATTTGATTACATATATAAAAATTATGGATTCTATTATCTGCCAAATAAATCTTATTGCCAGCATAATTATGAAAACCCTCATGATTACTAATTACATATACACATATAATTGATTGTACATCTATTTACTTATTTGTAGCCATCATGAAGCCCTCATGAATAATTATTACATATACACGAATGAAGTGATTATATATATATATACTTTTATATACATATGCATCTAATTAATTAATTAGAATTATTTAGAAATCTTTATAAAATGAATAATCCCTTCCTCCATTCTAATGCATTAATAACTAATTAACATGACTTCGATTTGGTTCCCTAATAATAAATACCCCCCTAATACTAAAAACTACCTGCCGTGTTTTGTATTAGGGGGGGGGTTTAGTATTAGGAGGAAGGGATTAAGTGGGCAATTTTGCATAATTAGCCGTATTGAATTACTAAAGGGAAAATCGATGGTTTTACAAACTCCAAACGCGTCGAAAGCTCCCGAACAGCTCTTGTCTGCGGCGGACACCAACCCCCTGCAACCATGCCATTATAATCCGCAAGCAAAATCCGAGTTTGGAGCGTTTCATACCGTTTGTGTCATGGCCATCCCTAGCTCCAAGCAGCTTAAATCCCACATGTTTCCCAGCCTCGCATTGATCAGGATTGCCTTGGACTGCCGCTGAAGTCAGGCGCCCCGATCACCGCCACCAAATCCTGCGCCGTCAAACCATTCTGATTCCTTGGCCGCCGTGGCCGTGGCTTCAAATTCGGCGGAAACCTATGGAAATGTCAAGTGAAACCTGCTGCCAGCCCAACAGGACACCAAGGAGAGCCACCAAAACTGCTATCTTTATCATTCTTTATCTGCTGGCTCGTGATTTTGGATCTTTGACAGGTCATACCCGTCTTGGGCGAGAAAAAGGCATGCAACCGCCATGCATGGCAAAATCAATTGTCACATTCCACTGGCGCCCCACTGGCCAACCACAAAACCCGTTCATGCAACTTAGTTAATATAATCCGGCAGTCTACCAGTTTGCTGTCTGGAGGTCCGAACTAACATGAACTAACCATGTTTGCTAGCTCCTGTTGAAAGTCAAACTGCCAGCCTGACCCAGGCCCATGCTGCGCCAAAGTTCTGCTGATCAAGACGGGCCCCTGCTGCCACAAGTACTGCAGCAGCTTCGAAGGCCCCACAAAGGATGCAGCACATCCTGTGGTGAACTGAGTTGGGGCAGCAGTGCTCAAACTCTCAGAGTTCAAATAGGTCTACCATCCCAACACCACAGGAACACTCGGAACATCAAGCGTGATTTTCTTGCAGCATCATGGCGGTCAACTTCAGTTGGTCAAGCTTCAATGGACTGGCGTCCGCATACTGAGTTGCAAAGTAGGTGACCTCAGAAGCACAATGAAGCCCCGGTAGGCCTTGACCCCGAGAGTCAGTTATATAGGCGATACAGCCATGTAAAACCCACAAATGCACACGCTCTTGTTTTCCTTGAACCAAGTTAACAGCGTATTTACATGACTACTGGATACTACAGGCTACTATTTTACTGGGGAGTATGCAGAGATATGCGGAGTATATGTTTAATACCCCGTAAGAACAGAATCATGTGGGAACATTTGATCTGCCTTGGCACCCAGCCAAAGGTAAGTTGTTTATAGTTGTTTGTTGGTCAGAATTGGCTAGCAGGGTCTGGCAGGACAACTGACTGCATGCTTTCCAGACGCATCACCTTTGAAAATCTTTGGAACCTAATGTGGGGACATGGCACCTCGAAACCATTGGAGTCTGATTGATGGTTGTGCTTCTTCTCGTTTCAGGAGGCTAGTTGCGACAGGACACCCAGCGACACTTCCAGTCGTGCTGCAATCCGAGGTACGGCAGTCCGGTTCCATCGATTCTTCAGCGCCAAGAATCCGAAAACGAGTTGAAGCATACTGAACATGGGAAGTTTGAGCGGCTGGTTCACATCTGCGCCACGATCAATCAAGGCGGATACTACTTCCGCGGATGCGCCGCCGAACATGATGGCATTGTGCAGGGCGATACTCACTTCCTGCAGCAATGGGAGATTTAGCGTTGTGAAGCTAGGAACGTGAGACCAGGGGGGCTTGAGATAGTTCAACTGCTGATTTCCAAACTGGGCCAAAAGTACCAGAACCGTCAAAAGCATCTGCATGCAAAGAGGGGAGAAAAGCAGGCCCAGAGCAAAGCATAGCAAGATGAGTCTACTGGCAGCGAAAAGCATCTTATATCAATGCTGCCCTATGTTGGCCACACTCTGTCTTCAAATTGCCACCCATAGCAAAATTGTGGTTCATTCATGGCCTCTGCAACCCTTAACCTGCGCTGGCCCACTTCAGCCCCTCCTCAATCGTGGCATCTGTTAGAACACGATCAATCACTCCCAGAGCGCCAGATCCAACACCAGCACCACCAGACAAAATCCGAGGTGAATGGGAAAAGGAATTCAGTGTGGTTGCGCTCGCACCGAAGGAAATCAATATGTCAATGGCCTGGCAGTGATTCACACATGCATCGATGCCTGTTTCAGTCTCTGCACCCATTTGTGATTCATGGACCTGTCGCCACCACTAGCACAACCACCACTATCACATCACAACCACCACCACCCACCACTGTCACCACCAACACTATCACAACCACCACAACTGACGAAAGCTTCATTTTCAATCATTTTCACATCTTCCACTTTCAGTTCCAACAACTCATATAACTCATTCAGGAAACATCTGAGCCCTGCCATGTCTTGCGCTTGCTTGCTGCTCATCTTGGACGAGCAACATGCGCCAAGAAAAACAGCTTTTCAGCAAGCAATGGGCCAGCGTCTCACCGATAGGGATTATGTGATTTTTTAGTGATCGTTTCGTTATCGTTCGGGATTCGTTCGGGTTATCGTTTGGGACACCTGGTTGGATAAAAGCAAAACAATGATTCCTCTCTCGAAAATTCTTAATGCTTTCCTGAACAAAACTTGAAGCTGCCGCGGAAAACGAAAAGCACAAACTCCAAAAGGAATATAGGAAAGAGCGGGATCTAGAGCACCCACACTGTTCCTGCCGCAAGGCAAGACCTTGTTCTTTCCTTCCTCCAGCATGGCGGGTTGTCACTAGCAAGAGTTGAGGCAAAAAACTGATATGTGTCCGTACAGTACTTGAATTTCACTCAGCATGCAGCCCAAACAGGAGCATAAACAGACCATCACCACACAGCAATGCACATCACCAGGTACCACCTGTTAAAAACAGGATTTTGCCGTTTGCCTATCTCTCACACAGATGGTGACTGCTATTGAATGCGTACATAAAGGCATCGAATAGCCTGCGCCGTAAAACAAAGGATGACTGATGACCAAAATCAAACATAAGCAAATTAAATGTTATCATTTTTCTGCACAATTTATATCAATTTATAATTTATAATATTTCGCAGGTCGTCGCTTATTTCGAATAATTTTACCGCTGAAATATTGACGTCGTCTGAATTAATAGATTATTGTACGTCGGCCTAATACGACAACAGGACCTGCTTTCATTTCTTAATTTGCTGCATCCTGGGTATGTTCTGTATAATAAACACAACGACACAACGTTTTGTTTGTCCAAGCTTTGCCGCTTAAAAGCGATTTTTCCAGCCGTAGCTGCCCAGACAAAAGCTAGAAAAATAGGGAACTTGCTTCTGAACGCGCTGAAGACCTCAGTTTCCTAGTTTGGTAAACTGTGTGATCACAGTTTCCTAGTTTAGTTTTTTTTGAAGAGTGTGTGATCATTTTCCATGGCCCAGCTCAATTTCCCAAAAATAGAGATGCCTCGAATACTACTCTCCAATACGGGAAATTTTGGCTGTAGCTCATGTAAAGATAGTAATTACATTACATATTGATGATGTATTGATGTAAGCATAGATCTATTGCGCGAGAGAATTTGCCTATTATGGATTGGATATCCCAGGCCGCAGGCCGAACCTATCTAACCTGGTCAATCCCTTCGTGATGATGATTTTCTGTTTTACGGGGATCCTAGGCTGCTAGACCACCAAACCAAAGCACCACCTCCCAATGTCCTGAGTCATTGGTTTGATATGGTTTGATCATGTTACCACCCTCCAACGGACGTCGCCTCCGCGTTCTGATTGACGCAGGCATAATGCATTGCAGTAGAGCCCATATTGTCCGTGCAGTGGACATCTGCACCATTGGACAGCAAGAATTTCAATGCCTCATGGTGCTTCAGGTAGATGCACATCACCAGCAAAGATGTGTATGGCACCTGAAATTTGGTCCGGCGGCTCCTGGAAAAAGGAACATCTCAGGTGGGATTGATGACGATTGATGAATTTTGGTAATTTGGTAAAATGGTAAAAGATGGTAAAAGCATGGCAAAGCATATGCCTTGATCATATCAACTACTAACTAAAAAGTTGCTGAAGAGCCTTTTCTTCAAATACTGATATACTGATGAATAAAACATGGTACCCGCCCATTAGTGCAACCCAGCCGAATCGATTCGTCAAAAGTGTCCATCATTTCACGTTGGAAATTATGCTTCATCTTCGTGAGTGAGTTTCAGGCTCCCTGTAATATCCTGTAATGTTCAAAGGTGTGACTTAAAACAAACCCAACAAGTAAATGCTGGCAAACACAAACACTGAGAAAAAAAACACAAGAAAGACAGACAACAAGAGGGTAGGAACACAAAACAACACAAATATCACAAATACAAAACGACAGCGCAAGAAAGAACAGACAACAAGAAAAAAGAATAAGGATCAAAATACACCAAACAAACTTTCAAACAAGCAAAAAAAGGTAGAACTGAACAATTAACACAGTGTGCACAGTCCGTAATGATGCAGCAGCTCCAGCAGCAACGACGACTACTACTACCATTACTACAAGGACAACCCCTGAAATTTCCCGCATGCGCTGCAACCAGTGGCAAAAATCATGCAAACTTGAGTGTGCCAAACAAAGATTAAACAAAGTTATTAACAAATCAAGCCTGACAATCATAAATTTCAAACAGGCTGTGGATAAAAAAACAGTAGTAAATCCATGCCAATCCAACAGCTGAGATCAGCTGAGGATCCATGAAGAGCTTCGGTGTCGCTTTGGTAGTGGTGTCCTGGGGGCTCGCCCCTCTCTGTATCAAGGCTTGAAGAATCGCCTGGGCGTTTCCAATGGAAACAGTATGAAACAGTAGACCCACCCCTCTATTCATAACCTCCACTTTAATCCTTTAATCGGCATCATATCGGACCCCAAGAAGAATATACTGTGTTAGATCCACCACTGAGTTGCACGTGCTGATAATTGTGAATGGGGGGATGAATCAACCAGTTTCAGGCCAAACGGCCGGATCTCCACGTAAAGCTGCATAGCAAATGGGGCTCCACCCTGCTTCATCGCGAGAGATCACGTCCTCGAGTCCACGACTCAATCTGGACCACAGAAGAGAGAAACCTTTAAGACCAATGATTCCCCATTTGGGATGCGTGTTCCGATCTTTAGTGGGTGTGGGCAATGTGGGTTGATAAAAAGAAATGATCACCATATATCCCAATCATGTGAAATTGACAGGAAAGTGACATGTGCTACAAGTATCCATGAGATCCCTTGCGACCCATTGCATGTCTAAAGTAGCATGGTCTGCCCCATCTGCATGACTTCAAGACTCTCAATTCTTCGTCCTATGATTTCCTATGTGTCCCTGGTCCAAGGGAGGCCGGAAGAATCCCGTCATCCGCCCTGTTTTGTGCAGTAGCATCCAGCAATATTCGGCATGCCGTATGCTCTACATAAGCAAGAGCTTCAGCTGAGTAGTGCAAGGAGTTCTCTGGTTCATTTTGCAAGGCTATCATATCTTGGGCCAAAAAAATGCCGAGCTTCTTCAAAGCCATTCTGGTACATAAATTTCCGAAAAGCCAACGTCCTCTCATCCACACAGTCACCATCGCAGAAGCCGGGGATAACATCCTGTATGGGTCCCAATGGCAAAGCTCTGAACTGGGAATACTGCAGGTTCAGCAGAATGCGGTAACCTCACTGCCACAGGTGATGAATACACCAAGATGTCTCTTGTCCGTGGCAAGCTGATGTCGGCCTTAATTCCTTTCAAACCGTTTCCCCAAATATTTATTCATAGAGAATCATAGAGAATCAGAGAGAGAGAGAGAGAGTGATATAATTAGTGTGTAAGTGTATGTATGCATGCACTGCATGTATGTATACGTATACACATGCGCTCCCCGGCAAGTGTGCGGCAACGAATGCAAGGAGGCATCTAATGCACTGCTGGCGCGACCTTCATGCTGCACTACCTTCATCGCCCGTGAAGATGGTCCAATTGAGTGCCTTTGTGCGGCCTTTGTGCCTTCGGGATGACCTTGTACACTGACAATATTATTCGGTTGCACCCTTGCACCTTTGAAAAAGTCGAGTTGCCGTGTAATCACGAGCCGAGCAGCTATGAAATTCTTTTCTTTTCAGATGGAACTGTAGCCTCTTCGTAAACATGCTGTGAAGCACCCCAGCTGCTACTTCCCGATCGCTGGTGATGGTGAAATTGCCCTCACCGACAGGGTCTCGACAGAATTCCTGAGGCTGCACATGTGATACAACACAAAGCATACAAAGCCAAAGCAACCAAACAAAATTGTATTCCAACCACATACACCACAAATAATGGCAAACAAACAACGTTTCCGGACAAATGCATCACCCAACAACGATGGAGCACTCAATAGCCAAGGCATCAAGATACCTGGCTAAATATCGACTCTCGCTGCTAAACCAGTCGTGGTTCATATGGGCTGTTGAGGAATTGGTGCTTGGCGCTGTGAACTTCGATGATGTATTTGTCTTCACCTTGTGGCCATGCGGAGCCATGCGGAGCCATGCGGAGCCATGCGGAGCCATGCGGAGCCATGCGGAGCCCCAAAGGGCGCCCATGGGTGAACCATGTCTTGCTAACTTGAACCAGTCTATATATATGGTCAATGAAACCTTTCTGGTAGTAGCCCAATCTCCAAATCCCCAGATTCAAGAGTATACCATATTATAATCATATTTATATATATTATATATATTATATAATCCGTATGTTAATAATTACATTATATTCAACTAATCACGACCGACAGTGACAAATATGAAACTGGGGGATTCAAATAATATCAAATATATAATCATTTCCAATCACTTCCAATGTTCAATCTTCTCTGAGGCTTGGACCAGCATGAAGTTGACTAGCCAAACGCTCCAAGCGACACCAAGCCCTCCTGTGCGCTGCGTGTTCGAGCCGGGCACATGTGCTCATGTGTTTTGTGCGCATATGTGGCCACAAAACGCCACAAGGAACATGACTGCTATCTTGATTTGAGTGTAATATGTATTCATATGTAATTATAATCAATGGGTTCCAATTTTTTGGGGGAATTGTTTTGTTTTTTTTTTGACTTGTCTGTGTCTATTTTTGAGTCTTGGGCACTTTTCCTTGCTATTTGCATCTATTTGCTACATTTTGGAGCAAAAACATGTAATTTGCTGAATTTTGCAGCTGAATTTCTCATTTGCACGGTCCATCGATTTTTCCCAGATCTGAATCAACTTTTCCGTGGTTTTCATCGAGTGTTCCATGGTTTTAATTGATTTTTCCATTGTTTTCATTGATTTTTCCATGTTTTCGATTGATTTTTCATGGTGTTCATCGATTTTTACATGGTGTTCATCGATTTTTCCATAGTGTTCATCGATTTTTCCATGGTTTCAATTGATTTTTCCATGGTTTCCATCGATTTTTCTGCATAACATGCACCTGGTGAAAATGTAGAATATAGGTTGAAGCACATGTTGAAGCAGAACCGTGTTGGGTGTAAATAGTTTCATTGGATACTATCATAGTGTTGGTTTCGGATCTATTTAGGGTTTGGTTTAAAGTTTGTTTAAGGGTGGTTTATGGTTTGTTTAAGGTCGGTTTAGGGTATACTTAGGGTTGGTTTAGTGTTGATTTAGGGTTGGTCTAGGGTTTATTTAGGGTTGTTTAGTGTTGGTTTAGGGTCTAGTTTGTTTAGGGTTGGATTAAGGTGTATTTAAGGATACAAGGTGTGTATAATAGATAGGTAGATAGATAGCTAGATGGATGGATTGATAGATAGATAGATGGATGGATGTATGGATGGATAGATAGATAGACAGGTTAAAATAAAGAAAGCGGGAGAGGGGGATTGCTGCGCCCTCCCCCCCAAAGCAGAATGACAGTACCTATTCTTACATGTAAGTATGTTGGTTGAATATGATACTCGGGCTGTATCTAATGCACAACATGCATCTGGTGAACATGTAGAATATAGGCTAAGGCACAACCGTGTGGGGTGTAAATAGTTGCATTGGGTGCTATCATAGTGTTGGTTTCGAATATATGTATGGTTTGGTTTAGGGTTTATTTAGGGTTAACTGACGGTTTATTTAGCGTTTATTTAGGGTTGGTTTGGGGTTTATTTAGTGTTGGTTTAGGGTTATTTAGTGTTGGTTTAGGGTCTATCTAAAGTTTGTTGAGGGTTAAATTAAGGCGACCAAGGTGTATTTAGGGACATAAGCTGTGTTTATAAATATAAATACGATATATATATATATATGTGTGTGTGTATGTATGTATGGATGTATGGATGTATGCATGCATGCATGCATGTATGGATGTATGGATGTATGGATGTATGTGTGTTTGGATGTATGTGTGTATGTGTGTATGTGTGTATGTGTGTATGTGTGTATGTGTGTATGTATGTATGGATGTATGGATGTATGCATGCATGCATGCATGTATGGATGTATGGATGTATGTGTGTTTGGATGTATGTGTGTATGTGTGTATGTGTGTATGTGTGTATGTGTGTATGTGTGTATGTGTGTATGTATGTATGTGTGTATGTGTGTATGTGTGTATGTATGTATGTATGTATGTATGTATGTATGTATGTATGTATGTATGTATGCATGGATGCATGTATGCATGCATGCATGGATGCATGGATGCATCTATGCATCTATGCATCTATGCATCTATGCATCTATGCATCTATGTATAGAACGTAGGCTGAGGCACAACGCTGTTGGGTGCATTGGATGTAAATAGGTTCATTTCATTGCATGTTATCAAGGTTTCCTATAAATTATATTGTTAGATTGGATCTTGCCCGTCTTATAAAACATTCTCATGTTATATCACTTTGCTTTTTTCAGTTCTCAATGTTTTACTCGTTGTTGGCACGAAAGTTGCAGCATACTGCCAAGAAACCACAAAAGCCAAAAGAACAAGAAGCCAAAAACAACAAAAGGGAAAAGAAACTAAGGAGCCGAGAAGACAAAAGCCACACAAGCCAGAAAAACCACAACTTTCTTACAAAACATTGTTGTTTGTCCTTTTATTCCTTCTAATTGATGTTATAAGTTATGCTCTTTGTCTGGACAATGGTTGCAGCATAGTGCCAAGAAGCAAAAGCCAAGAAGCCAAAAGCAACAAAAGCCAACGATAAGACACAATTCACAAAACCTAGGAATCCCAAAAGCCACAAAAGCCACAAAGTCAGAGTGAAAAACGAAAAGAAATCCTTTAGAATAAAACGAAAAAATCCCCTCCCTTTTCAATTCTCGATGTTCTCTGTTGTGACTGCGCAGAAGAGGCCCGCTGATAAACTGGGGAGGTCCTGGCCCACGTGTGCTTATTCAGCAAGTGATCGGAGCCATCTCGACGCACAAAGGGACAGTGGATGACCTAGAGACTGCCCAGCCATTGCACGTGAAAAGTGAGAGGAAACAGTGGGACTTCAAACCTGTCCAGGGCAATGTCTTGCAGCCAATTTTTGCTTCATACTATCTGCGTTCCTCTGGGGCATAGCCCGTCCACTGGGGTGCCAAGTTCAGAAACTACCAACTGGCACAAGCGGCAAAAAATCGAGACATCTCCACATAGGCAGGGATACCTTGGAAAAGTCAAGTTTGCAATGCAATGTGTCGCTTTGGATACAGCATCTCGCAGGCTGTTTTTTGTCAAAGAACCTGCACAGAACTGGGAAGGGATGCTCAAAGCACCTGGGATTCCTAGATTCGAACTATTTCGAACTTCGAGGAAGCCACTGGGCCATGCCATGCCATGCCAATATGTGAGTTAATTCTTTTAGTTAAACTATGTTAAACTGCAAGAATCTATAAGAATCTATAAGAATCCATAAGATGGTTTGACATGGTTTAAGACGTGCCCTCTTTTGCTCTAACATCTCCAAGCTTCTTCTGATGGCGTTCTGCTGCTGAACATCCTCGATTCCTTGCACTGAACCCTCCAGCTGCGGGCAGCTGAAAAAATCAAACCAGACCTCAGTCTCATTGCTCGGAGATGCTCGGAGTATCTATTCATATCAGATTCATAATGATCTACTGTTATACATACTGTTACCATGTTTGGGGCATCTGCGGCATATGTGGGAATTGGATGGAATTGGAACTTGCCAAGCATGGTCTTACCCTCCTCTAGTCAAACATGGAGCGCTGGAACCATGGAGGTAAACCCAACGATTACCCAACGTATGTGGGTCATGGAATTATGTGCGAGTCAATCCGCACGTTGCGGCTGCTGACAACCACAACAGCAAAAGAAAAAATAGACAAGGGGATACATAGAGTTGAAATGTACAGGTAAAGAATCGAAACAATTGGAAACACATGGAAATACACGATCTGATGTGATCGCTCACTTGTATTCACCTGTGGCATGCTTATGGTGGATTCGACAAGCACTTTGACCCGAAGATGACGGCTTCCTACGAAAAGGCCGTAGTAGCCGACGGCCCGCCGAGCTGCGAAAAGCTCTCTGGATTTGAGTTCGCTGGTCATCATTCCTCTGTCCTGTCCGAAGATGAGTTCGGAGGCAAATTCCACGGGGACCGTGTCCTGAGTGCGGCAGGATTCCCGGTAGGATCCAATGGCAAACCATGGCCAACCCAAGCTGGACCCAAGCTGGGGCAACAAGTCAATTTGACATTCTATACCGGAAGATTTCCTAGATGGCTGAGAAATCCCGATCTGAATTCATCATAGGGGATCCAGGTTAGTGTCAGCTACTATTTGATCATGAAAAAAAGGAAACTTATATAAGCAGCGCCACCAACCATGGGAACATCTCTAAGCACACGATTTTACTGGTAGGATGTAACAAATTTACCCACACACACACACAAAGAAAAAAACACATAAACCGTTGCATCACAAAATCAGCGTGTCAATCTTAATTACCTGACTTTATCAAAAAAGTCACTTCTTATCGAGCAAGTTGCGGCGACATACAGCATGTGATGTAGAGCGTCTTGAAGCACCCGCACTTGTTCACCATATGGATCCTCACTTTCAGTGCACATAAACCAAGCAAGAGACCACACCTGCCGATTTCCTGAAAATAGTCACGAGATGTCAAGAGTGTGCATTCCCGAGCATACATGCAGCATGCTTCTGGGATCTTCCGGGTATGATTTCATATCTTCAATTCAGCTTTGCGAAGTCGATACAAAGCAGGACAGGGAGCCCAAAGGACATGCGTGGCGTATCGTGGCTTGTTGCTCAACAATGCGCACACGGGTTCTGGGCGTTGGTCATCGTCTATAGCCCCAGGTCCTGCTTCCCCAAGCCGAGGTTCCGGGTGGCTTCTGCCACTCCATTCATGGGATATGAACATGGCCTGCCCAAGGCTCTGATCGAATATCACCAGACTGTTGTCTGCCAGCAACTGCTCATGGGCAGTTGGGTATACCATGTGCCTTAGAAGGTTCGGCTATGTTTTCTTGGGACAAATCGATGGATAGGGATGCCCCGGTATGCGTGCAAAGGATGAGAATGTACTATGCTTGTACACTTGGACAAAACATGACAAAACACTCCCCAACATCCAATTACATCCAACTATCAATTACCCAAAAAAAAGTTTTCTCCATTTGAGATGTCCAGTTTTTTATCACTTGGTTAATAAAAACGGCCCGTACAAGAAAAATGCACGATATACCCCCACGGTGAGCGCACTGGTTTTTAATAATCATCTCCATTTGAGAGCCTCGTTTATTAATTAGTCACATCATGTCACATCCCTCAAACATCCTCAAACAGGTCCCTTTGGAGACGGTTTACGGAAAGGATGTTTGTGACATTTTGAACAGCTGGGATTTCAAACTTCTGAGCCTGAGTTTGGATGAGTTTGGTAGGTAAGGGTGCCCAAAGAATTATAGTAACTATTCGTCCCACAGCGTGCTTTTGTTTTCTTGTCAACTTTGTGACATACCAATTATAGATATTTAATGATATTTATAGATGGGTTGGCAGTTGATCAGGTTTAAACATATGTTTTTCCCATCCAGGCAATCAGCCATCCATCTGGCCAGTGGAAGCGTGTGGAACCCAGCAGGAACGTCTTTTTATGTTTTTTTTGGACGCCTCATCCCTGTCGAGTTGCAATATGCTGTCGACAGGCAGTGTGTACATTGGATAGTATGCCTGAAACGTTGCATGGTTCTGATCCACATTGCCTTGGCGTTGACCGGCGAGGCTGCAGGCGGATGCTGAAAACTATTGGCTACTGAATGGCTATGGAAAACCATGGAAAAGCTGCTGGATTTCGTGAAGCGCCATCAGTTTGTTCCAAAAATGCGAATGAACTAACTAGACTCCAAGCTACTCAAAGCCTGAGCAAACTCTATGAGTCGCTCGCTACTTTCTGGTCTGCAGCAGGTGAAACTCCATACCATGGCGCCCGCAAAGATTCAGCGAATGCGGTTTCACACCGTTGGTGTTCTTTCCAGCAGGTGTAGTCAGTGTATTTTTTTAGGATCAGGCGTCAGACCACTATATACACGTAAGCATTTCTTGAAGGTTCGATGGGAAGCAGTTGCCACTGGACAATACTTGACGTCAGAAGAATCTGACTGTGGCTATGATAGCTTTGACATGCCCAAAACTCAGAACCAACACAAGCAACCTACTCTAAGAGCCCCAAATGGCATGAAGAGGTTCTCAAAGAACATGCTCAGGGTGTCTACTCAACTTAGAGGAAGAAAAAAAGAAGAAACATCAACTCCAACTTGAATTTTGGTTGGCAGTGGCAACCCATCCCAAAGTTCAACTTCAATCCGGCTTTACCATCCCCAGGTATGCGGCATGACCATCATCCACCAGGCCGTCCAGCCATGAAAAATCATGAAAAATCCAGGTCATGGCATAGCTCTGGGCCCAAACCGGTACTCACCAAATTGAAGCCTTTCCCGTCCTGGCTGGGGTTGTTGTCCCATGTCCCCTAGTCTTCTGCACCAGTGGCTCGTGACCCGGTTAAAATCGAGCAACGGGAAACTCATATTAATACAACAGTGTTTAGTGATAAAAAAAAGGGGAATAAGTACACATGATTATGTATATAATTGATAATGGAAAATGCGCGCAGGAATCACAGAACACCACAGTCCTTTATCAACAATGGCAAATGCACCTGAAAAACAATGGCATTCTAATAGCAATGACAACACTCCAACTCCAACTGCAGCACGAAAACAAACAATGGCCGCAAAACAGGGTACTCCTCCACTTTCTGTACATGATTTTAAGGGCTTCAATCGTACTTGACATGGTCTTCTCTACAAGCAATGCGGCATCCCAATGGCAGCACCCACACGACACAGTTCACCTCCAATATCTGTGAGAGTCTGAGTTGGTACTCTGCAGCAGCCTCCTACCAATGGCTTGCATTGTGGCTTGAGAGGTTGGAATGAAAGCAAAGGACACTCGAAATATTGCCAAGTGGCACATGTCCTGCCATAAAGAAGTTGGCCCATGGAATTTCAGATCAAATGCGCAGGAAAGAAACACTAATGCAAAGTATCAGTTACTTTTGGACCACCTCCCAACAATGGGAGCGGACTAATCATGGGCTCTTTTATTTTGAAAGCAGTGCTAGACTATTGCAGTCTCACACTCGCAATCTCCAATATCGATATATATTAATATATTGTCAATTAAACATTCTGACTGTTATAGTAAACATTATTAAACACATATCGCAGCATTATATGATATGATTCAATATGATTCAACTATATTACTATATTCAACTAATATTATTTGGTATCCAAAGAAACCACACTGTTTGTTGGTCTTTCAATGAGGTTTGTTGCTGTGAAGCTTCGTGCAGTGCTTTCCAGGCCTTCCAGCCTTGGCTGGTGTCAGGTGCAATGAGCTGCTCCTGATCGCAGTATATCGCGTGGCCATCATGGCCATCCTACTGGAGAAATTCCAGCAAACTCGGCAACGCTAATATGATATAGATCATATATCATATATACATATGATATATCATATATATATACAGTATATATATGATATGATATATCATCTATCTATATATATATATTTCATATATATAGATCATATAGGAAAACATCAGGCTTTTTCGAACTTGCTGTCCTCTGGGAAGTGAATACCCCGCTTCTGCAGGGTCTTCACCAAACTGCTTTGAACCTAGACATCACCCAGTGGAGGCAGCTCAACCACCCGCTGTTCTTGCTCCGGCCAGCATTCCAAGGCTAAGTTCCCAGCCAAGTTTGCATTACAATCATCATCGCTTTCGTAGCCATACCGCCTGGCTCAGCATTGGTTGCTCAACCGATCCTTCTGAAGGACTTAGAGGGGTTTAAAACTTTGCACGGCTTTCAGCTGAAAGCCACCACACTAGAGTCTGTTTTCATTACACTGTGGAGTGCGAATAGGCTGCATTGTATGAGTATATATATATACATCTTTTAAATAAAATGACACGAAGTTCATAGAAATTTGAGGGAATTCTGGTTCATCATCTACGGGGGAAAAAACATCCTCTTGACAACTCTTGTAGAGGCTCAGCGATGCAGTGGCTGTGAAAGCAGGAGAAATCGTCTAATTATACAATTACCAGGAATCAATCGGACATAATTATTAGCTCAAACCTGATCCACCTTGCAGCCAAATTACTCATCCAGCAAAATGATGAGAACACGGCCCCAATCCTTGGATAAGTGTCAGCCGGCACCAGCTGCCAAGGAAACACACAACACAGTTCATCACCGCAATCATCTTGAAAAGGACTGTTGCACCACTACAATCTGCATACTTGGCATAATTGGCGTAATGTAAGAATATGTAAATATATGTAAGATATGTATAGATATGTAACATGTTGGAACGCATGATTGTGCACATGCGTTCCAAGTTGTCCGGATTCATGCGCCTGGGATGGCCTGGGGATCCTGGGGATCCTGGGATTTTTTTGCGGAATGCAAACTGGTCCATGGTCATGTTAACCTTGGTAGCTATCTGGAAAATCAGCATTTTTAATGGGTAAATCCATTTTTAACCTAACCACATTGGCAGTGACTCAGTGTGCTGAATCCGATTTGATCCTCTGCGGTCAGCATCTTTGAGTATCGCATCTGCCCCAAAAGAGCTTGGCACCAAACAATCTCCTGCTCATTCCACTCTGCTATGGCGGAGTATACCTAGAACGAGGGACAGTTGACTGCATGCGAAATCCCCAGACTTCCAACTTCCACACCTCCTTGGCACGGTTTCGCCTCGCTTGACCATTCCTCAGTAGGGTGAAGAAATATAAAAAATGTTTCAATTTAAAGGCATCAAAAAAATAGCGCACTGGGGATCAAAAAATTAATATTGAAGGCATGAAAACCATATTCCCCTGGAACCCCTCATACTATGGCCGCTGCAACATTCTGCAACAATCTATTCCTCTGTGATGGTAACTATGAGTTAAACTATAAGCATCATCGTTGCAATGTGATTGAAACGTATTGAAACTGTTGAGCTATAGCTGGAAACTATGCGAGTATATGAATAATTATCGATTAGAAGCATTTAAATTAAAAGCATCAAGATGCATCAAGTGTGCATTTGGTTCATGCGACATGTGGCATCAAGTTTATCTGAGACGGGCTCGTGGGTGACAAGCCAAGCAGGAATTTCGAGGAAGATGACTTCTGGTGCCTTAGCCGAATTTCCCAAGCCTCCACCACCGCAAGTAGGAAGACTGTAAATATCGATGGGTGCATGACGGTGCATGGTCAATCGCTCGGGTTGCATCATTTTGCATCTGGACTGTGAATTCTCGTAAGGACAGAAGCAGGATGACATCAGCTCAGAATATCAAATCTCAGGCAAATGAGACATATTATATAATATTTTATAATCCAAATCCACACACATGAATACATAATGTGATGAATAGAATGATTGAACAACAAACACTCATTACCATCAGTACTATTTATCTGTCTACGCAACACTCTGTCTCTTCTTTAACATCTTAGTTACTGATATCCACAGTTGACAGTCAAGAAATTCCATAGGAATTTGTAGTTAATACCAGACTTAGAATTCTTGTTCTTTTTTTATTTATTGGATCAACATTTCTTCTACCTATAGTCTGAGAATATATTTTACCACACTCTCCGACTATTCACATAAAAAGAAGAGGTGATTTGTTGGCAAGTGAATTTGTCGTATTTTTTGCTAGATTTGTTAGTGGTGCAATCAAAGGTACCGCAGCTTTTGAAATGGCCATTGACCATTGTGTGCCTTTTTTGGGGCCCAGCTTTAACCGCGCGCTTTCACGCTCCATGTTCCACCAGCTGCGCATCTGGGGTGTGGCACTTGATGATGCGGGCACAGATGTGCTGAGCCGCCTTCTCTTGAAGGTCCTGCCCCAAGAACTGTAAAGAGAAACAACTGGATACATGGCATTAGTTTAGATGCACTCTTTTGGACATGCTCACACTGTAGTTTGACCACCCCTCCATCTCTCTGCAGAAGAGCGACTCTCGTACCACTACATACTTCCATCAAATCTGCATCCATCTAGAACTTGAATGTCATGGTTCAAATCTTTTCACATGTTGTAAACATTCCATTCCTTCTCGGTGTAGGCAATGATGCGCTCCCCGTCCATGGCTTCGGACCCCAGGGGTCAACGGGTGACCATTCTGACCCACTGCAAGTCTCAAAGGATTGGGCTTTCCGAATGGCAAGGTTTCAGGGCAAGCCTACCATCCACTGCTTGATGCACACATCTCCCGTTCTGAATATGAAGTGCCTGTCGCTTTTGCCTGGTCTTCCATGTGGGAAGAAATGATGACCGGGTACCGGCTCTAAGCGTCTGAGTTTTTTCCCCTTGACAGGAAATGCTCGGAGGAAAGAATCGGCATCAGCATGAAGCATTGAAGCGCACTGCACCAAAAGCAATTGAGTGACAAGCGCGCAAAAACCATGAAAAGACACATATTTTTGTTGGTCAAGAGCTACGTCCGTCTCATTCTGTCTTCTTTGATGGCATCCTGCATCGCTGACGAAGCCAAGGGCATGTAGGAATGGCCAGCTGCACTTTCAAAACCATATCACTGACTCATCACCAACTACCAAACTCGCTAGTTGCAGTAGTTAACATCATGCAGAGAGTTGTTCGCCTTATTTTTGGGAGGTGAAATCCAAAGAAAACATATTCTGCTAGCAGCGGCGCTGACAGGAAACTTTGGATCGGCTTCATTCGCTGTTGACCAAAGTATGAAGCAAAGAAATTAATTAATGTATAAGATATGTATAATTAATAATGTATATATATATATATATACGTATATTATATATATATGTGTGTATATATATTATGTGTGCATGTACATTGCCATTTGTGTGTAGTCAAATGCAAATGCTACAAAAGCATCAAAAGCCATGGTCTCAATCTGAATGACATCCGAATCCACATGCATTTCCTTACCCGACCCATGTCCATCGCGAAGAATAGGTCATCGGTCAGGGTCGTATCCTGCAAACTTGCAAACTGTTGGGTCCTTTCCGGCCATCATGATCCCATCATGTTAAGCTGCATGTTAAGCAGCAAGGCGCATTAGAATAATGAATATTATGTAGAATAATGATATAGATACAATTTATATGTATAAATATAAAGCCTCAGAAGAAAAGAAGACCCAGGTGCGCGAAAAGGTAGGAAAGTCGCGAAACGCTATGTTTTTCCAATGATTTGGGGGTCCGGAGGGTCAAAAATGCACGCCGTTGTGGCGCGAAGCACATTTCGAAGTCAAAATGTACAAAGCACACCAGGTTCGGACCACTTTTGGAAGTTGAGATGTCGAAAAAGTGCACGCCGTTGTGGCGCGAAGCACATTTCGAAGTCAAAAGTGCAAAAGCTGAGGGGTTCGGAGCACTTTTTGACGTTTAGATGTCGTTTCGCGTGGCAGGCGCACGGGATTGTGCATCTGGTCAAAAGTGAGCAAAACGTGAGGGCTTTGTAGCATGTCCAAAAACGATGGCAGGCGTGGGACATTAAGAGGATCTGCCAATATGCATTTTCCGTGGCAGGCGCAGTACAAGAGATATGTTCATCAGAACTGTTAGGAGGTCAGGGCGCTGATTTCCTGAGAGGGGTTGCATTTTGAAGCGTCAGATCTGTAGGTTTGCTAAGATGATTTTGCGTGACAGGTGCAGCACTTCGTATGACCTGGCATCACTTTTTCGTGGCAGGCGCAATAGTTTAGACAGGTGGAGTGGAAAAATCGCAAAACGCATTGGTACGAGGCCGCCAGCTCTGCACTCAACTTTCCATTTTTGAAGGACGTCTCGCAGAATTGCTTCGTTTTGGATGTTGTCAAGTTCAAAAATTGAGGAAGTGTCGCAAAATAGCTGCGTTTTCAAGCTTGCAGATAGACGGATAGACAGACAGAGAGATAGATAGATAGATGGATGGATAGATAGATAGATAGGTTAGATGAGATGGGATGAGATGAGATGAGATGAGATTAGATGGATAGATAAATAGATAGATAATTACAACTACAACTACAACTACACTACACAACACCACTGCTACAGCTACAAATACAAATATGCTACGCTACATTACAATCATTACACTGCACTACACTAATTACATCTAATTAAGCTATGCGACACGAATTACACTAACAACAACAACTACAACTACAACTACTACAACTACAACTGCTACCACAACTACAAGTACAACTACAATTACAACTACACTACGCTAATTACACTGCAGCACCCTACAACTACAAATACAACTACACCCACACTACATTACACAACACTACGCTATACTGATTAGATTGCATTACACTACAACTACAACTGCAACTACAACTGCAACTGCACTACACCACACTACATCCAGCAGTTGTGGTAAGGTGACCACTGCAACCATTGCAACCACTCCAAAAAACACAACTCCAACCACCTGTCGGTCCATCAGTGGATTCGCTCTGCCATCCGTGATTCACAACAACCAACCTCTCCTATAGGTTTCCCATTTTTGAAACTTCCGCCACCGCCTTGTGCGGTACTACTGGTATAATATGTATATCGCAAGTTGGCATCCTTACACTATCCAACCGGATAAAGAAGTGGCACTGTTTGATGTAAATAGTTGCAGCTGGCACTGGCTGTCACACCTTATGTCGTTCTGGTGAGCTTTGCAGTAAGGTTGTACGGATGCAAACATGCAATGCAACATTGTGTTATTTCTCCTACAGCACGGGTCCAGCATGTTGAACGTCTGAACGGAGTTGAGCTCCAAGCAGTAGATCGTCTTATCATTGGCTCGCCTAAACCAAGCATCTACAATTCAACAGATCCAACAGGTCAAAACGGCATCAGGAACTCCATGCAGGAAAGTTAGGTGTGGAAGTGGGGCCCCAAACGAGTTCGATTCGCTCACCCTCAACAACCATGTTGATGCATCATGGATGTAGCTTCCCCCAACGGAGACTGATCAAGGTCAAAGGGCTCTTTGTGCCATGCGCTTCCCCCAGCTCGACGGACACTGCTGGCCGATGCTGGCATCTTTTGTAACTTTGGGCTCCTCGGAAAGGTTGCCAAGGTCGCCAAAACTGGTTGGGACGCGACACCAAGCTCTCCAAATGTTTTCAAAGGTGGCATGACCTGACAGCATCACATTGCCTTTCGAAGCATCAGGGGAAGTCCTGGAAGGTGCTGTCCCATGCAATGGGTCCTGAGCTGATCCGAGCTGGGAAATTGGGGCATCCAGGGCCCCAGGGCTGTTGGGTGTTGCAAAGCGCACTGAGAACATGCACCTTTCCGCAGGTTGGCATGAGCCCATGGACCCCTTCAAGCGATTGACCCTCAACAAACGTCCAACACAGCCCCTCACCTCATTGCTTGGGATCAAGTGGCTGCGATCTCCTTCAAGGATGAAACAAATGATACTAACAGAAATCAAGGCGAGTTGCCTGCTAGCTAACAGGCATGAATCATGACCATTATGACCTTGCAAGTTCAATCAACAATACGGGGGACAATCATGTTTATGCATGTTTATGCCAGCGGGGGGAAAACCGCGCCAGTAGTTGCGCACGTTTTTGAAAACGGACATTTTTGTCCGTCACATGCACTTGTTACGTTGCGTCACATGGGGTGTGTTAACGTTCATGTTAACTTGCGTCACATGCACATGTTACGTTGCGTCACTGGGTTGGGGGGTGTTAACGTTCATGTTAGCTTGCGTCACATGCACACGTTACGTTACGTCACATGGGGGGTGTTAACGTTCATGTTAACTTGCGTCACATGCACATGTTATGTTGCGTCACTGGGTTGGGGGGTGTTAACGTTCATGTTAGCTTGCGTCACATGCACATGTTACGTTACGTCACTGGGTTGGGGGGGTATTAACGTTCATGTTAACTTGCGTCACATGCACACGGTACGTTGCGTCACTGGGTTGGGGGGTGTTAATGTTCATGTTAACTTGTGTCACATGCACATGTTACGTTACGTCACTGGATTGGGGGGTGTTAACGTTCATGTTAACTTGCGTCACATGCACATGTTACGTTACGTCACTGGGTTGGGGGGTGTTAACGTTCATGTTAACTTGCGTCACATGCACACGTTACGTTGCGTCACTGGGTTGGGGGGTGTTAACGTTCATGTTAACTTGTGTCACATGCACATGTTACGTTACGTCACTGGATTGGGGGGGTGTTAACGTTCATGTTAACTTGCGTCACATGCACATGTTACGTTACGTCACTGGGTTGGGGGGTGTTAACGTTCATGTTAACTTGCGTCACACGCACATGTTACGTTACGTCACTGGGTTGGGGGGTGTTAACGTTCATGTTAACTTGCGTCACATGCACATGTTACGTTACGTCACTGGGTTGGGGGGGTTGTTAACGACTGGGTTGGGTTTCCCCTTGCTGGCGACTATCAAAGTCCGCCATACCATGCAGTCTCTCGACCAGAACCAACGGCCATGTTAACCCAAAATTGATGCGAAGCATCAGGGTGTAACTCCAAAAGCAAAAGCCTTTTCGAGCTCACTGGTCGCGCCTTGAAGGAGCGCATGGCGATGTGAGGTGGAAAAAACACCGGGCACCTTTTCAAGAAATCCCCTGAAAATTACAGGTCATCGTTAAAAAAACACTTCAAATTCCCGGGGAATTTTAAGCGTATTTTGGGGGATGAATCAGTCGTTTCGCTATGGCGAAAACGACATTTAAAAAAAAAAAACGTTCAAAACGCTGGCGCGGATTTCCCCCCGACGGGATGTTTATTTATCTTGGAGGTTCACTTTGGAGCACAAGGTTTGGGGGTGCTCAAGAAAACTTCAGAACACCAGCATTTTTGGTCACCTGACAAGCCATCCCTACACCGCATGGTCATGGTCCTTCTTCCCACAGCGGCTTTGTCTGCGGAAGGAGATTCTTCGCCTCTTCCTTCAGGGTTGTTGTTTCCGCCTTAGTGTGAGAGAGCTGAAGTCTTGGGCCCAAGATGCCAAGATAGTCTAAGTTTCCAAGTATGAGTGGGACCCACAAAATTTTTAAGATGTTGACATTCCTCCTTGCTGGGACGAGGTAGCGGTACTCTTTTCTACAGCTTTGATTTCCGGCCCAAAGTTAAAAACAAGCTTATATAATCTTATATATTTAAGATAATTTATTATTACTATTTTTAACATGTATATAATATGATTAGCCATGCACCCATGGTCAGGTTGGGCATCCTGCTCTCCATGCACCATGAAGGTCATTCTCCTCGGCAAATCGCTACGTCTATATGGTCTAGATCAGTCTACTCTAAAATTGTTTGAAACGGAGCATCATTCAAAAAACATATCACATAGAAACTAACAGTAAGTAGCATGGAAGGTTGCCTTTCAGAAATGCAAGCCTTCAACAGTGTCCATTTAGATGTTCAGAGCACCGGCCCCGGTGTCAATGTGGCAACCGGGCATTCGCCCAGCATCCCTGTCCTTCACCTGCTCACAGCACCGCCTCAGTTCGGGGCCACTTCCAAGAGGCAGGAAGTGCAGCAATGTCTCTCGCCTTCCTCTGACAGATACAGAAGCGAATCCAATGACACCTTGGCCTTGTCTACATGAATGCCTTTCCTGCTTCTTTCTTCAGTTCTGCTCAGAGAGAAAAATATATAATTATTATAATTACTACAGAGATCCACAGGGACTATCATAGTAAGAGCTGGTCAAAAAAAACAATCCAACAATATCAACCAATTAGATCCAGTTAGGGTAGCTAGAATCCCTAACTGGACTTATCTGGACTTCAGATCTTCCAGCTAGAAACACTCGTGAAGCCCTAAGCTTGCGGCACTGCCCGTGCAGGGTCCATCGAAAAGTCGTGGGCAGGATCAGCTCGCAAGAAACAACCTAAAGCTGCAACAGCGGCATTTCACACAACTAGCAGGTGGTGGACGCCTTGTCTGAAGTTCATATATCTTTCAGCCTCAGCGTTTGGATTTTTCAGGTTGAATTTGTTTCTCTCTTTCTTGGACAGGCCTGCTCAGATTACCCAGCATCTACTGGTAAGCATGTTGCTTGACATCACAGTTGCTGTTTTCGGAGAATAGGAATCAAATTCTTGAAGCGGCCAAGCCTCTAGGCCCTATAGATCCTATAGTAGTAGGCCCAGGCCTTCTAGATTCCAAAGATTTCACAGCTTCATTGCATCGCACTCCATCGCACTGCATCAATCTGTACAGCAAATTACCCCAATATCACAGACTGATTGAGGCCCCTCACCAGCCAATGGGCAAATGCGTGACAGTACGTGACAGTGCATTCCGATCATGGCCACTCTTCATTGCCCTGTGTGAGACCCACTGGAGACAGTATAGCTAATGTCTTCCGAGATCTTCTGAGGCTTCTGCGTGCCAACTTCAGGAGCAAAGCGCATCTGGCCAAGTGTATCCAGGTGTCCCATTGAAAGTCACCGGTAACTCGCGCAATTCCAAATCTGCAAAGCATTAATTAGAAGGCATCAAAAAACTGGCCATTGCAGTCTTTAACAAGTTGAGAATGCCTGGATTCTTTGTGTTGCCTTGTATTGCTTTGTATGAGTAGTTCAATGATATTATCGAAGGAAGTTTAGAAGTCAAACTTCCGACAATATGGACAGATGAAAAGCAGAGGTGGAGCAGAAGAATAGAGAAGAGAAAAGCAGAAGAGACAAGATCGGAGAAGAGAAAGAATCAGAAGAAAGAAGATGCAGGTGCGCGAAAAGCTAGGAAAGTCGCGAAACGCTGTGTTTTTCCAATTATTTGTGGCTCCGGAAGGTCGAAAAGTAGGCTCGCTAAAGCGGCGGGTGCGGAGCCAGCTGGCCAGATGAGAGATGAAAAATTGCACGCCGTTGTAGCGCGAAGCACATTCCAAAGCCAAAATGAACAAAACACACCATGTTCGGAGCACTTTTGGAAGTTGAGATGTCGAAAAAGTGCACGCCGTTGTGGCGTGAAGCACATTTCGAAGTCAAAATGTACAAAGCACACCATGTTCGGACCACTTTTTGAAGTTGAGATGTCGAAAAAGTGCACGCCGTTGTGGCGCGAAGCACAATTCGAAGTCAAAATGCGCAAAGCACACCATGTTCGGACCACTTTTAGAAGTTGAGATGTCGAAAAAGTGCACGCCGTTGTGGCGCGAAGCACATTTCCAAGTCAAAATGTACAAAACACCACATGTCCGTGCCACTTTTGGAGGTTCAGATGTCGAAAAAGTGCACGCCGTTGTGGCGCGAAGCACATTTCGAAGTGAAAATGTACAAAACACTAGGGGTTCGGACCACTGTTGGAGGTTCAGATGAGCGATCAGCAAAACCTCAATTGAAAAATGCGATCTCAGGTCAAAGTTATCGTTTTTGGGACTTCACTATATCGTCCCATAAACGTGTATATCCTGACCAAACTGATTGCAGTATATCCTGATTGCATCATTTGCATCCCCTGGCAAACTGCGTGCGGAAAGCCTTTTTACACCTCCACTTCAGCGTCTGAAGCATGTTGGAAGAAGTCTGGATGAGCTCTCACAGCGACATGCTCCATGCCGCCTTTCATTCATTCCCCAGCGTCTGGGTAGCAAACCATCACCATGATCCAATGCTTTTGCCTTGGCTATCTTCATCTAGGAGAAAGATCGCCAAACCGGACCTGCAGGTGCAGGTGTGCTGGTGTGCCCGAGATGAACCAGGATTGACTAAAGCAATGGTGCGCCGCAAAAGAATATGCATAGCAGCGAAAAGATCGCAATAAGCAAGTGATAATATTCAACGGCAAAGATTCATCTCAAGAATCTTGTCGCATCTGGGCCATCCATCAGCGAAGGACATTTTGTCAAGAAATGGTTATCGTTTAGTTATCGTTTTCGTTATCGTTCAGAGAGGGAAACATTTTTGGAAAATGGCATGAACCAAGGAATGTTGGAAAGGAGGCCTGTTGTCATCGTCAATGCTTGCATGAAAGCGGGAGAATACAAAACGCTCATCCGGAAGGTTTGAACAATGGCGAGACAAAAAGAGCATCCAAATCCAGCTAGTTACCACATACTGTAGCAATACGTGCTTGGATACAAAACTGTTTACAATAATCAGCAATAAAGAAATTGGCCAGGATCAAGAGTGTCAGCATACTTTTGCACATCTTCCGTTGTGTGAGCTGGTCATGACGTATACCCCACAACTGAGAGCCTAGATGCTTCTAGAACAGGTGTCCACCATCATGTCATGTACACCACCCCTTCACTTCCCACAATGCTTTTACATATAATATGATTCCCAGGTTATCGTTTTTGGGACTTCACTATATCGTTTTACATATCAAGATGCATATTTTATCATATTTTTACATACGAGAGCGCTCGAATACATACCTCCTACACGGAGAGTTTAGCCTCTTGCTCAGATGTCGTTTCGCGTGGCAGGCGCACGGGATTATGCACGTTGTCAAAAGTTGGCAAAACGTGAGGGCTTTGTAGCATGTCCAAAAACGATGGCAGGCGTGGGACATTTGAAGGACATTTGAAGAGGATCTGCAAAGATGCATTTTCCGTGGTAGGCGCAGCACAAGAGACATGTTCATCAGAGCTGTTAGGAGGTCAGGGCGCTGATTTCCTGAGAGGGGTTGCATTTTGGAGCCTCAGATCTTCAGGTTTGCTGAGATGATTTTGCGTGACAGGTGCAGCACTTCGTATGACCTGGCATCACTTGTTCGTGGCAGGCGCAGTAGTTTAGACAGGTGGAGTGGAAAAATCGCAAAACGCATTGGTACGAGGCCGTCAGCTCTGCACTCAACTTTCCATTTTTGAAGGACGTCTCGCAGAATTGCTTCGTTTTTGATGTTGTGAACTTTGAAGCAAATAGGAAGTCTCGCAGAACTGCTTCGTTTTTGATGTTGTCAAGTGAAAATTGAGGAAGTCTCGCTGAATTGCTGCGTTTTTGATGTTGTCAAGTTCAAAAATTCAGGAAGTCTCGTAGAATAGCTTCGTTTTCAAGCGTGCAGATAGACAGATAGATAGACAGACAGACAGATAGATAGATAGATAGATAGATTAATTAGATAGATAGATAGATAGATGGATAGATAGATAGATAGACAGGTAGATAGATAAATAGATAGATAGGTCGATTAATCGATGAGGTAGATAGACAGACAACTTCGACGATAACAACTACAACTGCAAGTGCTGCAACAACAACAACGACGACAACAACAACAACAACTACTACTACTACTACGACTACGACTACGACTACGACTACGACTGCGACTGCGACTGCGACTGCGACTGCGACGACGACGACTACTACTACTACTACTATTACTACTACTACTACGACGACTACTACTACGACTACTACGACCACCACTACTACTACTAAGACTACGACTACGACTACTACTACTACTACGACGACGACGACTACTACTACTACTACTAAGACTACGACTACGACTACGACTATACTACTACTACTACTACTACCGCTACCACTACCACTACTACCACTACTACCACTACTACCACTACTACTACTACTACTACTACTACTACTACTACTAATACCAAATCTACAGCTACAAGCACAACTACACGACATTACACTGCACTACACTAATTACACTGCAGCACACTACACCTACAAATATAACCAAATATACATTCAACTACAACTACTACACTACATTACACAACACTACACTACACTAATTACATATAATTACATTACATTACGCTACATCTACAACTGCAACTGCAACTACGATTACGACTGCCACTACATTGCACTACGCTACACCACACTAATTACAATACACTACAACTACAACTACACTACAGTACTTTACACTACACTGGGCTACACTACACTATACCACACTACAGTGCACTACAACACACTACAAGATACTACACTAATTACACCACACCACGACTACAACAGCAACTTCAACTGCAACTACGCTACACTAATTACACTACATTACAACTACCACTTGAAACTACAACTGCACTACACTACAACTACACCTACAACTACAAATACAACTGCGCCACACTACATCCAGCACTTGTGGTGAGGTGACAACTGCAACCATTGCAACCATGGCAGCCACTCCAGAAAACACAACTCCAGCTACCTTTCGGTCTATCAGTGGATTGGCTCGGCCATCCGTGATTCACAACAACCAACCTCTCCTATAGGTTTCCTATTTTTGAAACTTCCGCCACCGCCTTGTGCGGTACTACTGGCATATATATATATATATAAATGATTATAAAATTATAAATGTAATATAAATGCAATTAATATATGGTAAGTCTCCACTTTGATCACCCCCCGGGCTTGGGATGGGCTTGCGACGAGCTTGCTACACCGCCTGCTAGGTCCAGCATGCTCCACTGGCGCAGGCCGCAGCAGGTCCAGCCTTGCCCATGCGTGGAAGGCTGGATCCGGTAGGACAATGGGTCTGCCATGATCTCTGTGCCCTTCGGGGAGGGGACGAATGGGATCCTTCATATTTGCATACAGCATCAAACACCCCTGCACCAGCAGCTTTTGAATCACCAGGGGATGGTGCTGGCTTGCAGCAGTGGCCCGTGGTCACAAAGAACCAGCCCACGCTGGAAAACTGCATAACCCAAATGCTAGCAAATGGGCCATGACTCATTAAAGAAATAGGGACTGGATTGGGCTCGCACCCTCGAAAATAACTGAATGTGTCCTAAAAGAGTCTTAGTAGACCTCGACGTGGTAGCGGTCAGCCTTCTTCATGGCCTTGGCAAACTCGGTCCAAACGATGCCGTTCTTCTCGGCAATAGGGCCGAAGCACTCGGCCATGCCGCTCTCCATACCCTTCAAGCCGCACATGTAGACATGGGTCTTTTCGTCCTGCATCATCTCCCAGAGTTCTTCGGCATACTCGGCCATCTTGGTCTGGATGTACATCTTCTGTCCAGCCGCATTCTTGTCCTCACGGCTCACGGCGTAGTCATAGCGGAACTGATCTGGGTACTCCTTCTTGTAGGTCTGATGCTCGTCGTCATACAGCAGGGACTTGGAATATGGCACACCTCAGTCATAACTTGTGAACTATACTAGCATCTGCTACTACAAACCTCCAAAACCGAAAAACATGTGCACATAGATTTCCCCAAACTATCCCAAACTAGGATCGCGTTGATTGTGGGAAGTCATGTGCCCCAAGCATTACGGGAGGTCAAGTCTTCAACAAATGATACATATGTGTATGTGCAGCAAAGTCCAAGGGACCCATGAAGAGCCAAGCAATACCCTTGAACTTGCGTCCTCCGTCGGCGGCAGCACCGGCCTTGTCGTGGAAAAGCAACCTCAGCAGTTGCAATCAAGAGCTTGCAAACACAAACACTATGCAACATTGAGTGGATACTGAGAGGTTCAAGAGAAGAGCTACAACATGCTATAACATGCCATAACATGTGGCAAAGCGTTGGAACAAGCACTTTTAGTCCAACACCAGGCCTCAAGTAGGAACGCATGGGTGCAATGCCCGTGCCTGTGGCAAGCATAATGATGTTGGCCTCCGGGTCCTCTGGCAACAACATCTCTGCACCGGTGGGGCCTGTGATGAGCACCTCGTCTCCTGGTGTCATGTCCTCGGGTGATCTCGGGTGGCTTGTACCAATCGTTTTGTACAAATGGGGCTTGCAATGGCTTGCAATGTCTTGCAATGTCTGCACAATGCATTGCAAATATACATCATAATGCAACCAAATGCAGAACTTCTCTCACATTCTGGGCCAAGCAGGCCAAGCTTCGCAGATGTGGTTGGAGCAAACTCCGCGGTAGACCTCGTTGTCTGGGAAAGCGGTGCCTGCCTTGTCAGGCTTGTCCTCTCCCTTTGCTCGGTTGCTGAACTTGCCATCCAACTCCACCACTCGCTTCACGCCTGCCAGTGATTGCCAGTGTCATGAGTCTCAAACACAACAGAATAGAACAGAGGCGACAGAAGGCGAGGAGACATGCAATGAAAAATATGAAAACAATATCGAGTTAACACACTCACATACTGTACAATCTGTACACAGGCAGCATCATGCAACGGTCACAAGCACACAAAGGGGATCGGGGATCGTAGAAACGGTAGAAATATGACAGATTCATGACGGGTTCATGACAGGTTCAATCGATTTCATGGGGTTCGATCGAGGCGCACAAAGACACAGTCTTGGAGGTCTGATCATCTCCCACAGCAGAGGAGGCGATGGAGTACAAACGGATCTTGGCTGGCTGCTCGCCCTTCTTGTCCTAAGAGCCCAAGAGATTCCAAGAGCCGAGCCCCGAGCCCTGTGCAGCCAAAGGGAAAATGTCGAGAATATGATTAAGAGCATATGAGCAGCATCCCAGCAAACATCAAATCATCAAACCTGCTTCAATGACTAAATTCTAAATGCTCTCACCTGAGAAAACAATAGAAAACATGGAGATGGTTCCTCTCTACTGGTTGCTGTCAGGTGTCAGGGCCAGGCGCGATAACACCAATGGACTGCCCCTCGATGTAAGGCACCTGCTTCCCACAATATTCCCCAAACAAATTGCGTGCTTGTTGTTGAAACAACTTCTGACAATCAAAATCATTGAACAACTTGCTCTTGCATGACATTGAATGGCATTGCATGGCATTGCAAGGCCCTGCTAAGATTCCTGAGCAATTCTCTCAACAAAGACTCTCACATGCTGCACCCTCCTGATTCATCCTGCATCCTGCCTTGCCACCGTGGTCGAAGGTCACATGGGTGGTCTCCCAGTTGGCATCACCAGTTGGCTCCGTCAGAGTCTGCGGGTGGAAGTCGTTCTCAACAACCTTGCCCTGGTAGGGTGCCTTGGGGGAGAACAGGTTCCATGGAATCTCCTTGCCGTGGACCACCTTCGCGCCCTTCTTCTTCACAGCAGCAGCGTTGCAGCTGGTGGCTCCGCTCCTTCGTCCGGCAGCAGCTGCCATGGCAACGCCTGCGAGAGGATGTTTGTATAAGGATGTGTAAGGCATAAGGCATAAGGATGTATTGGATGACTCAAAGTGATGCCAGGTGATGTCAAGTGCTGCCAGGTGATGTAATGTGACGTCTTCGCGTCATTCCGTGTCAGGATTTGGGGGGAATTATAATTAATGATTACTGATTGTTGATGATTAATTAACCAGTAAAGCAGCCGACTAGACCCCTTGAAGCTTTCCATGCATCTTCAAAAGATCGAGTCTTGACTTATTGATGACTTCAGTGTTGAGTGAGCTTATCATGCTGAAGCACCTCCCACATCCTCCCCACTACCTCCCACCATCCACCATCTCGCACCTGCCAAGCTGGCCAGAGCTGCAGTGCCGGCCACACCAGCACTGCCCGCACTGCCAGGGTTGCCTGGCGCTGTGCCGCGCAGGCTGGGAGCGGTTTGGCTCACAGGCCCTGGAGATCCTGGAGAGGCCAAGAAAGCGGTGCCTGCAGCACCCAGCAAAGCAGCACCCACCACGGTCTGCGCCATAGCTTCCAAGATCTTCCAAGCCAAGCAAAGAGCAAACGTGAGATTGAGCCAAGTCCCTCCAAACCAATTCATTATTCTTTTGATTTTTCTCCCATGCAAAGACATGCAAAGTCATGCAAAGACCACAGTAGAAGAAGTAGAAATCATGCAAAATCATGCAAAATCTGGGTTGCGTGTGCAGCAAACAGCAAGAGTATAGAGAGTCTCCGGCCGTCCTAGGCCTAGTTCCCTCAAGCTCTATTCAACGGATGACATGATGCAACAAACGAAACCGGATGATCCTGATGCGGTAGATCCTGATGCCATCGCAACTCAGGGTGTTGGCGTCTTCTTTTCCAGAGCAGTTTACTCTCTCTCTCTCTCTCTCCGAAAATGTTGGAAGCGTTTCGCCGAGTCACATTGTGGGAAGTACTATGTAGCAGCCCCATGTGATATCATGTGATACTCATGCAACGACCTCCAGCTGTACAATTCAGCTAGTTGGAAAAATAATTTGGCTGTAAAGCACACAAAATTATACGGAAATGACATGAATACGTCGAGACCAGGCCCTCTTAAAGAGTCTTAGTAGACCTCGACGTGGTAGCGGTCAGCCTTCTTCATGGCCTTGGCAAACTCGGTCCAAACGATGCCGTTCTTCTCGGCAATAGGGCCGAAGCACTCGGCCATGCCGCTCTCCATACCCTTCAAGCCGCACATGTAGACATGCGTCTTTTCGTCCTGCATCATCTCCCAGAGTTCTTCGGCATACTCGGCCATCTTGGTCTGGATGTACATCTTCTGTCCAGCCGCATTCTTGTCCTCACGGCTCACGGCGTAGTCATAGCGGAACTGATCTGGGTACTCCTTCTTGTAGGTCTGATGCTCGTCGTCATACAGCAGGGACTTGGAATATGGCACACCTCAGTCATAACTTGTGAACTATACTAGCATCTGCTACTACAAACCTCCAAAACCGAAAAACATGTGCACATAGATTTCCCCAAACTATCCCAAACTAGGATTGCGTTGATTGCGGGAAGTCATGTGTCCAAAGCATTACGGGAGGTCAAGTCTTCAACAAATGATACGTATGTGTATGCGCAGCAAAGTCCAAGGGACCCATGAAGAGCCAAGCAATACCCTTGAACTTGCGTCCTCCGTCGGCGGCAGCACCGGCCTTGTCGTGGAAAAGCAACCTCAGCAGTTGCAATCAACAGCTTGCAAACACAAACGCTATGCAACATTGAGTGGATACTGAGAGGTTCAAGAGAAGAGCTACAACATGCTATAACATGCCATAACATGTGGCAAAGCGTTGGAACAAAACACTTTTAGTCCAACACCAGGCCTCAAGTAGGAACGCATGGGTGCAATGCCCGTGCCTGTGGCAAGCATAATGATGTTGGCCTCCGGGTCCTCTGGCAACAACATCTCTGCACCGGTGGGGCCTGTGATGAGCACCTCGTCTCCTGGTGTCATGTCCTCGGGTGATCTCGGGTGGCTTGTACCAATCGTTTTGTACAAATGGGGCTTGCAATGGCTTGCAATGTCTTGCAATGTCTGCACAACGCATTGCAAATATACATCATAATGCAACCAAATGCAGAACTTCTCTCACATTCTGGGCCAAGCAGGCCAAGCTTCGCAGATGTGGTTGGAGCAAACTCCGCGGTAGACCTCGTTGTCTGGGAAAGCGGTGCCTGCCTTGTCAGGCTTGTCCTCTCCCTTTGCTCGGTTGCTGAACTTGCCATCCAACTCCACCACTCGCTTCACGCCTGCCAGTGATTGCCAGTGTCATGAGTCTCAAACACAACAGAATAGAACAGAGGCGACAGAAGGCGAGGAGACATGCAATGAAAAATATGAAAACAATATCGAGTTAACACACTCACATACTGTACAATCTGTACACAGGCAGCATCATGCAACGGTCACAAGCACACAAAGGGGATCGGGGATCGTAGAAACGGTAGAAATATGACAGATTCATGACGGGTTCATGACAGGTTCAATCGATTTCATGGGGTTCGATCGAGGCACACAAAGACACAGTCTTGGAGGTCTGATCATCTCCCACAGCAGAGGAGGCGATGGAGTACAAACGGATCTTGGCTGGCTGCTCGCCCTTCTTGTCCTAAGAGCCCAAGAGATTCCAAGAGCCGAGCCCCGAGCCCTGTGCAGCCAAAGGGAAAATGTCGAGAATATGATTATATAAGAGCATATGAGCAGCATCCCAGCAAACATCAAATCATCAAACCTGCTTCAATGACTAAATTCTAAATGCTCTCACCTGAGAAAACAATAGAAAACATGGAGATGGTTCCTCTCTACTGGTTGCTGTCAGGTGTCAGGGCCAGGCGCGATAACACCAATGGACTGCCCCTCGATGTAAGGCACCTGCTTCCCACAATATTCCCCAAACAAATTGCGTGCTTGTTGTTGAAACAACTTCTGACAATCAAAATCATTGAACAACTTGCTCTTGCATGACATTGAATGGCATTGCATTGCATGGCGTTGCAAGGCCCTGCTAAGATTCCTGAGCAATTCTCTCAACAAAGACTCTCACATGCTGCACCCTCCTGATTCATCCTGCATCCTGCCTTGCCACCGTGGTCGAAGGTCACATGGGTGGTCTCCCAGTTGGCATCACCAGTTGGCTCCGTCAGAGTCTGCGGGTGGAAGTCGTTCTCAACAACCTTGCCCTGGTAGGGTGCCTTGGGGGAGAACAGGTTCCATGGAATCTCCTTGCCGTGGACCACCTTCGCGCCCTTCTTCTTCACAGCAGCAGCGTTGCAGCTGGTGGCTCCGCTCCTTCGTCCGGCAGCAGCTGCCATGGCAACGCCTGCGAGAGGATGTTTGTATAAGGATGTGTAAGGCATAAGGCATAAGGATGTATTGGATGACTCAAAGTGATGCCAGGTGATGTCAAGTGCTGCCAGGTGATGTAATGTGACGTCTTCGCGTCATTCCGTGTCAGGATTTGGGGGGAATTATAATTAATGATTACTGATTGTTAATGATTAATTAACCAGTAAAGCAGCCGACTAGACCCCTTGAAGCTTTCCATGCATCTTCAAAAGATCGAGTCTTGACTTATTGATGACTTCAGTGTTGAGTGAGCTTATCATGCTGAAGCACCTCCCACATCCTCCCCACTACCTCCCACCATCCACCATCTCGCACCTGCCAAGCTGGCCAGAGCTGCAGTGCCGGCCACACCAGCACTGCCCGCACTGCCAGGGTTGCCTGGCGCTGTGCCGCGCAGGCTGGGAGCGGTTTGGCTCACAGGCCCTGGAGATCCTGGAGAGGCCAAGAAAGCGGTGCCTGCAGCACCCAGCAAAGCAGCACCCACCACGGTCTGCGCCATAGCTTCCAAGATCTTCCAAGCCAAGCAAAGAGCAAACGTGAGATTGAGCCAAGTCCCTCCAAACCAATTCATTATTCTTTTGATTTTTCTCCCATGCAAAGACATGCAAAGTCATGCAAAGACCACAGTAGAAGAAGTAGAAATCATGCAAAATCATGCAAAATCTGGGTTGCGTGTGCAGCAAACAGCAAGAGTATAGAGAGTCTCCGGCCGTCCTAGGCCTAGTTCCCTCAAGCTCTATTCAACGGATGACATGATGCAACAAACGAAACCGGATGATCCTGATGCGGTAGATCCTGATGCCATCGCAACTCAGGGTGTTGGCGTCTTCTTTTCCAGAGCAGTTTACTCTCTCTCTCTCTCTCTCCGAAAATGTTGGAAGCGTTTCGCCGAGTCACATTGTGGGAAGTACTATGTAGCAGCCCCATGTGATATCATGTGATACTCATGCAACGACCTCCAGCTGTACAATTCAGCTAGTTGGAAAAATAATTTGGCTGTAAAGCACACAAAATTATACGGAAATGACATGAATACGTCGAGACCAGGCCCTCTTAAAGAGTCTTAGTAGACCTCGACGTGGTAGCGGTCAGCCTTCTTCATGGCCTTGGCAAACTCGGTCCAAACGATGCCGTTCTTCTCGGCAATAGGGCCGAAGCACTCGGCCATGCCGCTCTCCATACCCTTCAAGCCGCACATGTAGACATGCGTCTTTTCGTCCTGCATCATCTCCCAGAGTTCTTCGGCATACTCGGCCATCTTGGTCTGGATGTACATCTTCTGTCCAGCCGCATTCTTGTCCTCACGGCTCACGGCGTAGTCATAGCGGAACTGATCTGGGTACTCCTTCTTGTAGGTCTGATGCTCGTCGTCATACAGCAGGGACTTGGAATATGGCACACCTCAGTCATAACTTGTGAACTATACTAGCATCTGCTACTACAAACCTCCAAAACCGAAAAACATGTGCACATAGATTTCCCCAAACTATCCCAAACTAGGATTGCGTTGATTGCGGGAAGTCATGTGTCCAAAGCATTACGGGAGGTCAAGTCTTCAACAAATGATACGTATGTGTATGCGCAGCAAAGTCCAAGGGACCCATGAAGAGCCAAGCAATACCCTTGAACTTGCGTCCTCCGTCGGCGGCAGCACCGGCCTTGTCGTGGAAAAGCAACCTCAGCAGTTGCAATCAACAGCTTGCAAACACAAACACTATGCAACATTGAGTGGATACTGAGAGGTTCAAGAGAAGAGCTACAACATGCTATAACATGCCATAACATGTGGCAAAGCGTTGGAACAAAACACTTTTAGTCCAACACCAGGCCTCAAGTAGGAACGCATGGGTGCAATGCCCGTGCCTGTGGCAAGCATAATGATGTTGGCCTCCGGGTCCTCTGGCAACAACATCTCTGCACCGGTGGGGCCTGTGATGAGCACCTCGTCTCCTGGTGTCATGTCCTCGGGTGATCTCGGGTGGCTTGTACCAATCGTTTTGTACAAATGGGGCTTGCAATGGCTTGCAATGTCTTGCAATGTCTGCACAACGCATTGCAAATATACATCATAATGCAACCAAATGCAGAACTTCTCTCACATTCTGGGCCAAGCAGGCCAAGCTTCGCAGATGTGGTTGGAGCAAACTCCGCGGTAGACCTCGTTGTCTGGGAAAGCGGTGCCTGCCTTGTCAGGCTTGTCCTCTCCCTTTGCTCGGTTGCTGAACTTGCCATCCAACTCCACCACTCGCTTCACGCCTGCCAGTGATTGCCAGTGTCATGAGTCTCAAACACAACAGAATAGAACAGAGGCGACAGAAGGCGAGGAGACATGCAATGAAAAATATGAAAACAATATCGAGTTAACACACTCACATACTGTACAATCTGTACACAGGCAGCATCATGCAACGGTCACAAGCACACAAAGGGGATCGGGGATCGTAGAAACGGTAGAAATATGACAGATTCATGACGGGTTCATGACAGGTTCAATCGATTTCATGGGGTTCGATCGAGGCACACAAAGACACAGTCTTGGAGGTCTGATCATCTCCCACAGCAGAGGAGGCGATGGAGTACAAACGGATCTTGGCTGGCTGCTCGCCCTTCTTGTCCTAAGAGCCCAAGAGATTCCAAGAGCCGAGCCCCGAGCCCTGTGCAGCCAAAGGGAAAATGTCGAGAATATGATTAAGAGCATATGAGCAGCATCCCAGCAAACATCAAATCATCAAACCTGCTTCAATGACTAAATTCTAAATGCTCTCACCTGAGAAAACAATAGAAAACATGGAGATGGTTCCTCTCTACTGGTTGCTGTCAGGTGTCAGGGCCAGGCGCGATAACACCAATGGACTGCCCCTCGATGTAAGGCACCTGCTTCCCACAATATTCCCCAAACAAATTGCGTGCTTGTTGTTGAAACAACTTCTGACAATCAAAATCATTGAACAACTTGCTCTTGCATGACATTGAATGGCATTGCATTGCATGGCATTGCAAGGCCCTGCTAAGATTCCTGAGCAATTCTCTCAACAAAGACTCTCACATGCTGCACCCTCCTGATTCATCCTGCATCCTGCCTTGCCACCGTGGTCGAAGGTCACATGGGTGGTCTCCCAGTTGGCATCACCAGTTGGCTCCGTCAGAGTCTGCGGGTGGAAGTCGTTCTCAACAACCTTGCCCTGGTAGGGTGCCTTGGGGGAGAACAGGTTCCATGGAATCTCCTTGCCGTGGACCACCTTCGCGCCCTTCTTCTTCACAGCAGCAGCGTTGCAGCTGGTGGCTCCGCTCCTTCGTCCGGCAGCAGCTGCCATGGCAACGCCTGCGAGAGGATGTTTGTATAAGGATGTGTAAGGCATAAGGCATAAGGATGTATTGGATGACTCAAAGTGATGCCAGGTGATGTCAAGTGCTGCCAGGTGATGTAATGTGACGTCTTCGCGTCATTCCGTGTCAGGATTTGGGGGGAATTATAATTAATGATTACTGATTGTTAATGATTAATTAACCAGTAAAGCAGCCGACTAGACCCCTTGAAGCTTTCCATGCATCTTCAAAAGATCGAGTCTTGACTTATTGATGACTTCAGTGTTGAGTGAGCTTATCATGCTGAAGCACCTCCCACATCCTCCCCACCTCCCCACTACCTCCCACCATCCACCATCTCGCACCTGCCAAGCTGGCCAGAGCTGCAGTGCCGGCCACACCAGCACTGCCCGCACTGCCAGGGTTGCCTGGCGCTGTGCCGCGCAGGCTGGGAGCGGTTTGGCTCACAGGCCCTGGAGATCCTGGAGAGGCCAAGAAAGCGGTGCCTGCGGCACCCAGCAAAGCAGCACCCACCACGGTCTGCGCCATAGCTTCCAAGATCTTCCAAGCCAAGCAAAGAGCAAACGTGAGATTGAGCCAAGTCTGCAGTGTCTTGTGTCCAAGCTCCATTTCGAAAAAAATGCGATAAGAGATGGAGAGCACATGACTGTCGGTGTCAAGTAAAAGAGTCAGGTGAAATAGCATCATGCGGGGTAGAGTCCCGCAATGCTACCCCATGTTGTTAGCTCGTGCTTCAGATCAAACTGGCAATTATGTGGTATTTGCCAGTCTGTTTCTGGTAAAATTGGGGATGGCTCATTGTTTTGCATACTGTATGCCCCATTGCAATGGACTATTCTTTCCATTTTAGTTGCAAAGGCCACATGCCAAGCCCTGCTCAGCAGCACACGCCCACTCATAGTAGCGTACGGCCTGCCAAATTCAGGTTAAGGTGTAGAGACCATTCCTTCTGAAGGGCCAAGACGTTGAGGTTGAAACATAAAGATTGCAGTTCCTGTTCGGTTATCATCGGTTATCTCCTGCTATCCTTCTCTTTCACTTGGTCTGGGCTTCAGAGCAAATGCAGCTTGATGACAAAAAAAATCAAAGAACAATTCCATGAACAACATGAAACTACCCCGTTCCATGTTCCCATTGCCAAACAGGACACCCGACCAGCCCCATAAAAATCATAAAGTGCCTGAGGGACATCCCTGTTGATGCAGGAATCTCCAGACTGACGTAGATCCCAGGCCTTGGGGTGCAGCTCTCAAGCAATCTCAAGCCTTTGTCATTGTCAAGGCTGCTTGCGATATCCAGGTTCTCAGCCTGTCGCCTTCTCCGTTAGTCTCAGGAAGTCTGGGTCCATGCCAACCTGCACAGGTTTACTTGCACAGAACATGATCTCGGATCACATTGTAGTTTCTGAAAAGCTGGCCGCGGAGAATTCTTCCAAACATAATCCCTGCATGTGATTTCTGCAAAAAGTGGAAGAAACAAAATTCTCGGCCACAGTTGCAATGGAGACACGTCTTTGGACCCGAGAAATCTGATCACCGACCGATGCCCCCAGGAATGTGCCTCTTTGGGAACTCCCGTGGCCTCTAGGCGCGGCCGGATCCCGGCAGCTTGCCGCTGGACAAAGCCCTTTGATGTTGTCATCACTTGACCAAAAAAAATTGCCATTCTATGCCATTCTATGCCACTCTGCTATGCCGCCTGGCGCGCATCGACACGGGCAGACCAATCCTGAATGCAACTCATGGTGACTGGCTGAAGCAAACACCTTTGCCCGCTATGGTCTGTTAACTCTATTTGGCCATGCTCTGACCGCAGTGTCTTGGCACACGCGATAAGTTGAACAGTTTAGTGCAAAAATTAAGGGACCGGATAACCCCACAAGTCCACTTCTTCCAATACTGAGCAACAAATGTTGTAGCGGGACTGGGAAGGAAGGAAAGACAAAGGATATGGTGGAGGATCGAGAAGTAAAAAAAAGGTTGTGTGTGACAAAGTTGTATGTGAAAGATGGTGTGGCGAAAGATTGTGTGTGACAAAGTTGTGTGTGAAAGATGGCGTGGTGAAAGATGGTGTGTGACAAAGTTGTGTGTGAAAGATGGTGTGGTGAAAGATGGTGTGTGACAAAGTTGTGTGCGAAAGATGGTGTGTCAAAAATGGTGTGTGACAAAGTGGTGTGTGAAAGATGGTGTGTGACAAAGTGGTGTGTGAAAGATGGTGCCAAAGCGCGCCAAAGCGCGCCACCAGAGCCAGCCCAGTGCCCCAAGTGCCACGCCTGCCACGCGAAACGAAGGTGGATGTCAGCAAGTGCCACACCAGCCACGCAAAGTGGCGCGGCACCCGGGGCGACAAAGCGCGCCCAAGCGCGCCACCAGAGCCGGCCCAGTGCCCCAAGTGCTACGCGTACCACGCGAAATGAAGGTGGATGTCACCAAGTGCCACGCCTGCGACGCAAAGTGGCGCAAAACGAAGGTGGATGTCGCCAAGTGCCACGCCTACCACGCAAAGTCGCGCTGTGCGCAAAACAAAGTGAAAGATGGTGTGTGACAAAGATGGTGTGTGAAAGATGGTGAAAGTTGGTGTGTGACAAAGTTGGTGTGTGAAAGATGTTGTGAAAGATGTGTGTCAAAGTTGTGTGTGTGTGTGTGAAAGATGGTCTGTGCCAAAGTTGTGTGTGACAAAGTTGTGCGTGAAAGATGGTGTGTGACAAAGAGTTGTGAAAGATGGTGTGTGACAAAGTTGTGTGTGAAAGATGGTGTATGACAAAGAGTTGTGTGAGTGAGAAGACGGGCGGCGGAGGAGGCGGAGGAGTGAGGCGGCGGCGGCGGGATAAAGAATCAAAAACAAGAACCCCACACAAAGTTGTGGGGAACTATAGCAATCTAGGGAATATTTCACCTTCATTGCAGCAAGTGGATTCCAACCAAGTTTATCATCTCCCTTTTGACACGCCCACGGTCTTCCAGCTCTGCAAATGCAATGTGCATTGAGAGTTGCCTCCGATCCAGCTTGTGGAATCTTGCGGAAGTTGTCTTTTTTTAATCCTAGATTTGCCATATGTATCCATAATCGTCCAATGTTGCTGCCATGTTGCTTCATACTGCCAGTTAAGGACCTACCAGTTGTCAGGCAATCGTATGCGATCATGCCAGTGGCATCCATTGGCCACGTCTCTGAGGACTGGATCGACGCAGCATGACGCAGCCTAAAACCCGGGAGTTGAAATCACCTGCAGGAGAAGTAACATGAAGGAACAACATGACACAACCATCATCCCGGCCTTTAAACTTTAAAGTTGGCTCGGCTTCTTTGTGGCCCAAATGGCTGAGCCAAGCGAATCCGAATTGAGGCAATTTGAGGACATTCAAAGCTCAAATTTGCTACTCTTCCACCTTGACTTCAGAGCATCTTCACCTTCGTCTTCCCCCAGCCTCAGCCGTGAGCACTGTGAGATCTTCAGAGTTTGCTGGGGCAAGACACCGGCAAAAAGATCAAAACATGTATATAAAACATGCTGCTGAATGTGTGGAAATTCTTTGCCAACCTTCGAGCCCCCCACTTCTTAAGTTCCTTCAAGATGTGCACCATGGTGGCGTATCTGCATTTAGCTGAGTTCCCAGAAAGTGAGCTTGTGGGGTGGCAGTCTTCCAGCTACCCCAAAAAAATTGCCCAGTAGAATCCACATGTTTCAAGTTAACTAGCCGACTTTGTAGAAGAGGAGAGGCTGGCAATGGCCTTTGATCTCCACCGGCAGCACACGAAAGAACCCGGAGCGTGGGGGTCGTCAGTTCACGACACTACGACAAACCCAGCTCTTTTGTTGATGCCTCATCTGCCCTTTCGGCGTCGATGTGACACCTGGCCGGACACAGCCCGGCATCATTGGGAAAAACATCAAAAACCGAAGCAATCTGATGGCAATGATTAAAAAAGGTTAAAGGACGTGGCCGCGTAATTATTCAGGAGGTCGGAGGAAGACCTTTTCAGCAAGATCACCATCAGCCACAATCACTCATAAATCACTCATAATCAATGGCGAATGGCGCCTCTGTAACAACAAGTCTGAGTCTCAGTAAGTGAGGTATTATGATGTTGTTTGATGTTTTTTTGTTATTTTACAAGGCAATGCTTGCTCATTGTGAGGCTCTGGGGAACCTTCCAGCACTTGGCCCCGGCCACCTCTGGCAATCTCGGACTCCCAGAAAGCGATGTCATCGGTGATCTGTGCAGGTTTTGGACCAGCATTTGATCAAAAATGGCGTCTATCAATCAAAGATATAATTTCACATAATTTCAAAATACTTCAGGATGTTTGACAGATTTTGCATGAAGACAGGAGGACCTAACGTGATGTTCTGCTGTAAATTCCAGCAGTCTTCTATGTGCCCTGATCACTTGCTTTGCTCCTCTGCACTTTGCCCATTGCCCGTGCCATGCTAATGTCTCAGACATGGTGCACACTCCTGCGTCGTACGTGGTCATAAAGAAATTCAATCAGCTCCTGCATGTTCAACCCCACCCTCATGGCAGATGAGCGAACAGTTCAGCCGCCCCTTTTAGGAGCCTTCTTCAAACTTCGGTGGGCTGAATTAATAAACCTAAGTTTCCAAAGCGATACAAAATGCAACACATGACACCAGGAACACCTTCGGATGATGGAGCTCAAGAGTGACTCCACACAACATGGCCAAGGACAGTCATCATCATCCATCCAATCTCAAATGACAAATCATGTGGTATCTGATATGCAGCACTAGGAGTTAGTTATGTTAATTATTGCTTTGAGACTGCAGTCAGGAAGGTGCAATTTTTTGGGGAAACAAAACACATCAATATCTACCCGTACTGTGCTGTCCGACCTCCGCACGCTGGAAATGGTTTTCTTTCTTGACTTTGATGGGGCGTTTAGTGGGAAGGATTCCAGAAGATTCTCACATGATCCTACACGGGCTGATACAACAAGCTTGCTCACTTGAATTGGTTTCCCCAAACCAACAGTGGGATCTGATCTTGAGTGCTGGACCCTCGTTCGAAGCCGTTGCACTTGGTGAAGTTGTAGATGGAACACTCGGACTCTGGTGCTTCAACCTCCTTGGCTATATCACAATCCCCAAATAAGCAACCTGTTTTCGGACCCCCCACCCAGTTTTTCATGTTTTTCCTGTACATTAAGGATCATTAAGGCGCAGCAATCAAATTCCCTGTCTCCAGCCTCCTACCCGCCACCCACCTGTGGCGCCATTTTGGTCCCAAGAGGTCACACCCAGATGAAAACTGCAATCGAAATTGATGGATTTTTTGCTCTACGGTGGAACTGTGCAACGAGGGCCCCCAAGAAGTGAGCGGACACAGCATGCCACTAGAACCAGCTTGAAAGCCTAACATTCTAAAACTGCGATGCTCCAAGATAATAAAAGATCAAGCAGCAAGTAACTCTCCCCCTCTGGCCTCTGCCTCTCTCGCGCTATCTGCTGCAATTCAACTATCTAGTCTGTGACACCCCTGACCCAAACCTGCCATATGGCTGCCGTTGAGGCTCTACTCGGTATTCCTGTCTGGAACCTCGACTGCCCTGGTCATGGGATCGGCAGGCAAGTGCTTGCAATACGAAATGGCCAGTACAACTAACTGTACAACTTGCTCGCGGCCACCTGTTTGCCACAGTTCTATTCAAGAAATGTCACCCACCGAGTTTGTCTGGAAAAAAATACAGTTCCCAAAAATTGATGGTTCATCACCAAAGAAATTGCAGGTATGCCGCCATTCTCAGACACTCCTCAATGGTCCAATGGTTGGTCCTACGACATGGTCCATTGATGGTGGTTCCAATGGCAGTTCACCACAGCTGGACCTTCTTCACCGCATTTGCCCGGCGCTTTGCTGCGATCTCATCAGCCCACCGCCTGAACCAAGAAGGGGGCGATTGATGTGACTGCAGGGGGCGACTGATGGGGTTGCTGCATTGAACAATTAATCATATATACATGTTGTGCACACACACATATATATATATATATATATTATGTATATATAACATTTCTATGTATATAAAATTATTGTTATTGTTATTATTGGTGTTGTTATTATTGTGTGTTATATATTGTTATTTATATTGTTATTTTTATTGTTATTGCTATTAAAAAATATTATCATTAATAAACATTAACATTATTATTGTTAGTTGTTATTATAAGTATTGTCATTAATAAATAATACTATTGATAAGTATTGTATTGATATTAATAAGCAGTATTATTATTAATTGTTATTATTAATGAATGGTTATTGTAAAATGTTCTTGTTATCGTTATTATCGCTACTATTATGAATGCTATTATTTTTAGTATTCACTATGATTATATATAATTAATTCCAACTAATGTGGTGTCCCGATTGGTGTGGGGATACTGTATTGTGTCAAGTTTTCCCAAAATAATTCTGACCAAGTGTATTTGTTGGGGTGGTCCATGGTGGTCCACTATTGTGTCAAGTTTTTTTCAGCATTTGATTTTTCTGCATTTTCCCAGTTTTTTTCAGCATTAGACCATAAAGTAGTTTACTTCAAATCCGCCGACCCCGGCTGCGCAAGGGGGAGCGCGTTAGGGAATAAGACAGCAGCACCCAGCCAGTAGCCAGCAGTCAATATCCGCCGACCCCGGCAGACGCAAGGGGGAGCGTGCCAGGGAATAATACTTTTGACTCTTGTTTCGGACTACTACTACTACTACTACTACTACTACTGCCATGGTGTTTTCCCATCCGGCAGGTGCCTTTTGAACAGAAGGAGTCACAGGAGCAGGAGCAGCAGCAGCAGGAGGAAATAGAAGGTGTTTGACAAGACGGTTATCATCACAAAGGCAATTCTTTTTTTTCTAGGATTTCAGAAGGGACGTTAGGCACTTTTTGGGCTCGATTTTGGAGCGTTTTGGGCACGAAATTAGGTGGCGTTTCAGCGTTTCAAGTGGTGGCCATGAGCAGCAGCAGCAACAGGAGCAACAGGAGGGTTCTATGTCTCATTGCACAAACAGTGGTATAAACATTGGTCGAAAACTATAAACATTGGTATATTATTGTGATTGATTTTGCGTCATGTTCGGCACGAAATTAGGTGTCTGGCTGCTGGTTTCTTACTTTATTAGAGGCAGTAGCAGCAATCAAAATTAGAGATCAAATTGGACAAAATTAGATTTCTATTGGACAAAGTTGGATTTCTAGTAGGATTTCAGAAGGGACGTTTCGGCCCCCGAAAACCTATTCTTGTGATTGATTTTGCGTCATGTTCGGCAGGAAATTAGGTGGTGTTTTGCTGTTTCGGCTGTGTTTTAAAAAAGGTGTCTGGCTGCTGGTTTCTTGCTTTATTATAGGCAGCAGCAGCAGTCAAAATTAGAGATCAAAATTGGATAAAATTGGATTTCTAGTAGGAGTTCAGAAGGGACGTTTCGGCCCCCGAAAACCTAATATTGTGATTGATTTTCCGTCATGTTCGGCACGAAATTGGGTGGTGTTTTGCTGTTTCGGCTGTGTTTTAAAAAAGGTGTCTGGCTGCTGGTTTCTTGCTTTATTAGAGGTAGCAGCAGCAATCAAAATTAGCGATCAATCAAATTTGACTAAAATTAGATTTCTATTGGACAAAATTGGATTTCTAGTAGGATTTCAGAAGGGACGTTTCGGCCCCCGAAAACCTATTATTGTGATTGATTTTGCGTTATGTTCGGCACGAAATTAGGTGGTGTTTTGCTGTTTCGGTTGTGTTTTACAAAAGGTGTCTGGCTGCTGGTTTCTTGCTTTATTATAGGTAGCAGCAGCAGTCAAAATTAGAGATCAAAATTGGACAAAATTGGATTTCTAGTAGGATTTCAGAAGGGACGTTTCGGCCCCCGAAAACTTAATATTGTGATTGATTTTCCGTCATGTTCGGCACGAAATTGGGTGGTGTTTTGCTGTTTCGGCTGTGTTTTAAAAAAGGTGTCTGGCTGCTGGTTTCTCGCTTTATTAGAGGCAGCAGCAGCAATCAAAATTAGAGATCAAATTTGACTAAAATTAGATTTCTATTGGACAAAATTGGATTTCTAGTAGGATTTCAGAAGGGACGTTTCGGCCCCCGAAAACCTATTATTGTGATTGATTTTGCGTTATGTTCGTCACGAAATTAGGTGGTGTTTTGCTGTTTCGGCTGTGTTTTAAAAAAGGTGTCTGGCTGCTGGTTTCTTGCTTTATTATAGGTAGCAGCAGCAGTCAAAATTAGAGATCAAAATTGGACAAAATTGGATTTCTAGTAGGATTTCAGAAGGGACGTTTCGGCCCCCGAAAACTTAATATTGTGATTGATTTTCCGTCATGTTCGGCACGAAATTGGGTGGTGTTTTGCTGTTTCGGCTGTGTTTTAAAAAAGGTGTCTGGCTGCTGGTTTCTCGCTTTATTAGAGGCAGCAGCAGCAATCAAAATTAGAGATCAAATTTGATTAAAATTAGATTTCTATTGGACAAAATTGGATTTCTAGTAGGAGTTCAGAAGGGACGTTTCGGCCCCCGAAAACCTAATATTGTGATTGATTTTCCGTCATGTTCGGCACGAAATTGGGTGGTGTTTTGCTGTTTCGGCTGTGTTTTAAAAAAGGTGTCTGGCTGCTGGTTTCTTGCTTTATTAGAGGCAGCAGCAGCAATCAAAATTAGAGATCAATCAAATTTGACTAAAATTAGATTTCTATTGGACAAAATTGGATTTCTAGTAGGATTTCAGAAGGGACGTTTCGGCCCCCGAAAACCTATTATTGGGATTGATTTTGCGTTATGTTCGGCACGAAATTAGGTGGTGTTTTGCTGTTTCGGCTGTGTTTTACAAAAGGTGTCTGGCTGCTGGTTTCTTGCTTTATTATAGGTAGCAGCAGCAGTCAAAATTAGAGATCAAAATTGGACAAAATTGGATTCTAGTAGGATTTCAGAAGGGACGTTTCGGCCCCCGAAAACTTAATATTGTGATTGATTTTCCGTCATGTTCGGCACGAAATTGGGTGGTGTTTTGCTGTTTCGGCTGTGTTTTAAAAAAGGTGTCTGGCTGCTGGTTTCTCGCTTTATTAGAGGCAACAGCAGCAACAAACAGTGGTATAAACATTGGTCGAAAACTATAAACATTGGTATATTATTGTGATTGATTTTGCGTCATGTTCGGCACGAAATTAGGTGTCTGGCTGCTGGTTTCTTACTTTATTAGAGGCAGTAGCAGCAATCAAAATTAGAGATCAAATTGGACAAAATTAGATTTCTATTGGACAAAGTTGGATTTCTAGTAGGATTTCAGAAGGGACGTTTCGGCCCCCGAAAACCTATTCTTGTGATTGATTTTGCGTCATGTTCGGCAGGAAATTAGGTGGTGTTTTGCTGTTTCGGCTGTGTTTTAAAAAAGGTGTCTGGCTGCTGGTTTCTTGCTTTATTATAGGCAGCAGCAGCAGTCAAAATTAGAGATCAAAATTGGACAAAATTGGATTTCTAGTAGGAGTTCAGAAGGGACGTTTCGGCCCCCGAAAACCTAATATTGTGATTGATTTTCCGTCATGTTCGGCACGAAATTGGGTGGTGTTTTGCTGTTTCGGCTGTGTTTTAAAAAAGGTGTCTGGCTGCTGGTTTCTTGCTTTATTAGAGGTAGCAGCAGCAATCAAAATTAGCGATCAATCAAATTTGACTAAAATTAGATTTCTATTGGACAAAATTGGATTTCTAGTAGGATTTCAGAAGGGACGTTTCGGCCCCCGAAAACCTATTATTGTGATTGATTTTGCGTTATGTTCGGCACGAAATTAGGTGGTGTTTTGCTGTTTCGGTTGTGTTTTACAAAAGGTGTCTGGCTGCTGGTTTCTTGCTTGTGATAATGCATTTGCCAAAGTTTCTCGTCACACAGCTTGCCTGTTTCACCAGCAATCCCCGATTCTTTACCGGGGTCGGCGGCAGGGGCGGCAGCCCTTAAATAATTGCATCAAACACAATAAGTTTCCATTTTTTGCTTGATCTGGTCGCTTTCCAATAAGGGGTCAACTTGTACCAGGTCCGTTGAACTTCTGACATTTTGTTTATCATTTCATGTATGATACTCACTTCTTTATTGATTTCATTGCCTAAATACGTAGCTTCATATGCTGACACGAGCAGACTTCCATCGTAAAAGTGGATGCGACCATTGTTGTTCATCTGTAACTACAGCTATACACTTGTCTTTGTTTAATTTCAGGCGATACTGTAAAGAAATCTGCTCTGTCAGTCGCAGAAGTTCATTCAGTCCTCTAGTACTTCTGGACATGAGCACTGTGTCGTCCGGATAATACATCATATCAAAATCAAGGTCTGGAATCCGATAATTCTTAACATGGTTGGAAACAGAAGATTGTATATCGGAATCTATACATGTCAGAACCAAAACGAACAAATATGGCGATAAAGGGCATCCTTGCCTGATACCAGCTGATTGAACCTTGACGTCCGATATTCCGTGCTCATCTTTGGCAAAGAACTGCGGGTTTCTGTAGCAGTTTTGATAATTCCTAGATACTTCTGGCTAAATCCCAATCTTTTCAGCGCCACCAACAACTTATTATGTTGAATTTTACCAAGAGCTTTTTCTCAATCAAGAAACGCAATGTTGAGCTGGGTCCCCTTTATTTCAGCATAGTCCTGAATACGGCGCAAGATGTAAATAGCATGTGAAGTCGATATATGGGGTCTAAAACCATATTGGGATTTAGCCAAGAGATGTTCAGTTGCAGCCTGCATTCTTGACCGGATCATGACCATGTATATTTTTTACAAGCTGTTCAACAAAGAAATTGGCCTGTAGTTAGCCGCATTATCTACATCACCCTCCTTAAAAATGGGAACCACTCTAGCCTTGAACAGATCTGCCGGCGCTTCTTCATGCATCCACCAAAGATTGATAAGGTCAAGAATCTTCCGCCGGTTCTCGTCGTCTAACCATTTGAAAAGTTCCATGGTGACACCATCCGGTCCAGGCTGTTTATTTGATTTTGCTGCCTTCAAGGCAACTTGAGTTCCTCAAGCGTGAAAATGGTTTCATATGCGGAATTTTGAGCAACTAATTATTGGCTCTTCATTGACAACCGTGTTTGTACTGTTGGTCCAATGGGTTTTTTCAAGATAGTTCGCAATTGTTTCCGCCCTTCTCTGGTCAGAGGGACATGCTGGTTATCCTTATTTTTGATCCGAACATATTGAGGGGGTAGAGTTTCTTCAAACCCCTAACTGCCTTCCATAAACCTTTTTTACGGTGGTAGATAGGATTGTCCCTCTTGGCCAGCTCTGCAATTTATTTGCTTAATTTCCTCACTTCTGTTTCTGGCGCCTTATTGCATCTAAGGCGGTTTCTTTCTTGTATTTTTTCCCAAGTTTGCCGGGTTAAGCAAGGCTTTCTCTTTTCTGGCGGTCTGCGGTCAAAATTCTTCTCTGCAGACTGCTGTAACGCAACAAGTAGAAGTTTTAAGTCAAATCTTACCTGATCATCAAGACAAGACTTGATGTCTTCGTTGTATTGAGTCCATTGAGAAGGTGTTGGTTTGTCATATCTATGGGTCTTCTCAACTACTTCCTTTTTGGGGTGCGGCGCTAATATCTTAATTACTGCTTCTAAAACGAAATGGTCACTCTTGAAAAAGATGTCTATCCTACTTTGAACGTCGGACACGGCGCTCTTCCAAGATTCCCCGGATAACCAATAATCAATCTGGGCAAATTTGATCGCATCATATGGTGGCCCAACTTCACTTTCATTGGGGTTCAAAGTAATCTTTTCCCTGTAGGTAACTAGCTTCTCTGACGGTTTATTGAAATAACATGAAATAACTATATATTCAGAATGTAAAGGTTGTGCATTTTGCAGAATCCAAGGAAGAGCGCCCTGTTCTCTTTGGAGTTCTCGTTCATTATGTTTAAGTACTCCATGCGCCTACCAATGATATTACGGCCACATATATCAGTATCTCTGACGTGATGGATTCTGGCATTAAAATCCCCTCCAATGTAGAATATACCTCTGGTATTCGGAATTTCTGATGATAGGTCCTCATAGAAATCCTCCTTAATTTCGGTGTTATAGCCACCGTGAGGCACATATGCAGTTATAAAAGTAAGCGGCGAGCCTGTTGAGTCAAAAGTTGCTGCCATGATCCTACCGTTTATTTGCCTTATATCTGTCAAACTGGATAGTAAACCGTTACGAATCACAATTCCGACTCCTGCATTCTCAAAATCGGGACATGTCCGGTAATTATTTCTATATATGCCCGGATTATATGGAGCCATTTTGGTATTCTCGCGTTTCTTTTCTTCCCTCTATCTAACCTTTGGGTCCACTCCTGTGCTAAAAAAACAAACAAAACCATCCCATTTTTCCCAACTATTTAGGTTGACATTGGTTTCGGTTAATAACATGATATCATACCCCTGGTCTTTCATTAGTTGGGTCACAACTTCCCTTTTCGTAATCGTGTTAAAGCTCTTTACATTTAGCGTTGCACCTCTGATCCGGGTGTATGGCTTCAATTTATTATCACTGGCGAGCTTTTTGTTGAGACAGGTATGCAAATTAGATTCCTGTTTTCGTGCTGCCATATTTTTATTGCGAAATTCCTCTTTTCTGCGATTAATAGTGTCATTGAACCAGCTCCTAGACATTCTAATGTACTTCTTTGAAAGTTTCTTCAGGCGCTGTCTTTTGGGTAAAGTTGATTTTTGGAAGTGTTTCTTGGCTACCTGGTTGGCTCTTTCCCAGAGTCTTGTTCTCTTGAAGTGTCTCCAACCCCTTCTATTGATACAGCGTCTGTAGTTGAGAGGAGTCTTATGCCTTTTGTTGAAGTAAAACGTGGGCTTATTGACACTTCGCTGGGCAAAACTCTGTGTCGATTTAGTCAGCCCTGAGGGCACTTTCCCGGGGTACCTTCTAGAAGGTGTGCTGCTACGTGCGTTTGGTGTTTCTGCTTGCTCGAGTTCCTTTACTAAACCGTTCTTTGTTTTACCTTCTTAGTTCCATTCTTTTGGAATTCTCAAATGTCTAGTTTCCCAAAATATAGGATGTCTTATTAAAACCCAACAAAAAAAAAAACAGCACTCAAACAATTGTTCAAAGGGGGTACTGTACCCCATCAGCAAGATTGATCTTCAATAGTATCTTTGTTGTGGTGGTCCTCTATTGTGTCAAGCTTTTCTTGAAGTGAACATTTTCCAAAATCCTTTCCCTTTTTTGTGAAAATCAATTCACATCATTTGAGAAGCAATTAAAAGTAAATTGAAATCATTGAACGAATTTGAAATCAATTGAAAGTAAATTGAAATCAATTGAAAGTAAATTGAAATCAATTGAAAGTAAATTGAAATCAATTGAGTGCAAATTGAAATCTATTGAAAATCAATTGAAAGTAAATTGAAATCAATTGATTAAAAAAAAAAATCGGACCCCGATCCCTAAAAAGAATCACATTAAAGAGACTCTCAGAATTGTTTAGGGTGGGGGCCCTACACTAATCAGGATCAAACATTATGAAAAGTTTCCATCCATCCTTGAAAGCTCTAAATGTGTGAAAATCTGGCGGCGACAGTCCCACCTCTCTTCCTGCTTTGCTGCGGCGGCAGCCTGACCATGATTGCCGTGAGTAGCACAGTGGGGAAGCTGCATCACAAAATATGTTTCAAGGTTTTGCAGGAAGGGACCCCAGCAGGGGGACACCTATGAATAAAGAGTGCAGATGGCTAAACGTCACACTTGGCATAGATATGCGATGATGCGCCTGACAAAAAGCTGGATCCCTAAGAACCAAGAGCTGTGTCTGGCTGCAAGCTGTGCTTTGTTAATATAAATTGTGTGAAAGTGTATGGTAACAGTGTTTGATCATGTATGCATGGCCCACCATATGAACCCCTGCATCAATTAGGATGCGGCGCACCTGCGCAGCGGATCTAACTGCCTAAACAGCCAGCATGAATGGCAAAAATGGGAAATGAAGTACATCAACAGCCCGCAAACAAAGATCTCATAGTGAGGCAAACATTGGAAAGGGGATACCAAACAAATAAAACATCAAAAAAATTGACAGTAGTCCAACTACTTTCTTCAGCAAAGAGTAGCAAATCAAAACTCATTTAACATGCCATGTCTGTTCTTTTCCACATGCCAAGTCATTCAACATGAAGTGTTGACCTGCCTCCTGCGCCATGTGGCTGGCTTCATGTGCCAAATGCGCTGCCTCCCCAGCTGCCGCAGAGGCCAGCCTTAGTGATCGTTGGGTGGGTCAGAAAATGGGCTATAATCCCTAAATGGCTGGCCATGCTAGCAGGAAACTAGTCAATTAATGTCAATTAACGGCCACTTTCATGGGAAACTACGGGAAACTCATGAATTTAGAGGCACCAAATGTTCAGACCCAATTCAATTTCATGTGACAATGCGTGTGTCAGACTCACCCACTGAAGTGGCTGTAAAGCCATGATCACCGCCACCCCACGACCAGCAGACCAAGCAGCTTCTTGACAGCAGACCAAGCACCCCCAGGAGCCCTCGGATCTGCTGTCGGATCTGGGGCAACCTGGTTCAAACCTCCTGATGGAAAGTGCTGGAAAGTTACGCCTCCATATCAGCCAAAGATCGGAGGTGCTGCTGGCGGTGGCGGTGCGGGTGGTGAGGCACCAGGTGCCTCGAGCAATGAATGGAAATGTGGAAATGTACCAGTCCAATCGGATGTTTTAGGAAAAATCTGCAGGAAATTATGGTTTTACATGGTCTTACAACTTTACCCAAGAAATCCCATCAAATAATTGAGGTTTTCACCAGTATACACAAACAAATAAAGTGACTGAAAGAATCCTGATGAATCATGATGGTTTTCTTCTCATCTGACTTAACTAACTATCATGGCTACAGGGCTACTCTCATCCGCACCTGTGGGCCAGCACCTTTGGTGTCTCCCAGGAGGTCCTGGAAAATGTGAACGCATGACTCAGCTAGTCACAGGATGTCATAAGGCCGCTCAGGTGTTGTGCGCACATGCTCCGCAAATGCATATTTGCAGTACTGTGCTGATATGCATCAGTATAATTTATAAAATATTATAAAATGCATTAAATAATCATTACATATGCATCATATGCGTGTATAAATTTATGGGATTGCAGGGATAAAACGCGAACTGGCGCTGAAAACATCTTTGCCTAGGTCTCTACATGTCTCTACCTACAAACGGCTGGTAGCACATCCTGCAAGGTCAAAGCCTCCATCTCATCCGCAGGACCTGCTACCATGAGAGCATCAATAGTGGATGACCTCTGGATTTGATCTGCTACTAGGAATGGCACCGTGCATATCATACACGTCGCCTTACACTGATATCTCAAGCCATCTCAGGCCTACCAAACCTCTTGCTGTTTGTGCTCTCGGCTGCTAAACAATGCTAAACAATGCTAAACATATAGTCCGTGTCCACCTAAAATGTTCTGTTTTCCTCGCATATTTGCCAAGTGCCAAAAAAAAGGGAACAACATGGGTCCGGTTGAATTCTTCCGCCCACCTGCTGGGACAAAGAACATGGTGTCCTTAAGCATCCCAATGGCCCAAACGGTGCCGCAGGAAACAGCATGTAGTTAAGATCAATTAAGAAACGAGAGCGTGATGTAGTGATGTGGGGTTGCAGTCAGATTAAAATGATTTTGCACTTACTCTGTACATCTCTGTACTATATCTTGCAATCTCTTGCACCTCGCTTTCTCTCTCTCTCTCTCTCTCTCTTCATCGCCATCTTGACACCACATTTTCTTGGCTAGGGCTTCCAACGGTTTGCCTGACAGCTAGGTTGGTTTCCATACTAATGTTTTTATCTCAAAATCCTGTGTGGGGTGGCCAAGTTTTGGACCATCTGTGATTGTGACGCTCATTGCATCTTTCCACTTTGACTGGATATCTTTTGCGCATTCAGCAACTCATGGAAACACAGGCCAAGGATCCATCATGGAAGCATCAGGGACTGCACCTGCCATGAGGGTAAGCGCAAATACTTGGACAAGCATAACACTTCCAGGCTGGTCAAGTGCTTTGTAACCTCATCCTTAATTATCCTATTTGGAAAATGGAGTTCCAATCCAATTAGAAAAGACCATCAATCAAGTGCAACAAAACACAACAAGCATGTTTGGGCAAGATCTGAAGGGACAAAGGTTTTTAGTTCTTAAAGATTACCAAATCACATCAAATCACCAGGGTTCTTAGATTCTTTTTATGAGTTTTATATAGTTTTATCAAACTTGTCGGATCCTTCAGTTTTTTGCCAACCGCCAGGACCGCCCACCTCCTGGCACCAAGTTCAAGACCAGTGCAGCCGTCAGGTGAATGGGGTGAATGGGGCGCATGGCGTCGCTCAGAGCGGCTAATACACAAGATCTCACGAGAGAGCGCACAAAACGCTTATGAAGAAGTGGGAATTAGGATGAAAATGATTACCAGTGACCAGTTCATACCAGTTCTATCATTCCATCTATTATGTTTTACCGCGTGATAAAATAATGTGATAAGTAGTTATAATTATATATGTTGAAGAAACCTGCTATGAGCCAAGCAGTAATTAATTACATACAGTGTGCTTGTTTGAAGTTGATCGTGTTTAGGATTCAGGTCTGGCTGATATAGCAAAAGGCCCATATGCCGCCAGTGTACTGCAAATGCATTCCTCCATGCTTGCCATAGTTTGCTATGCTTTCCTCCGTGCAATGTCTGTCTATGTACATGTGGTACCTGTGAAGAATGGATGCCGAACAGAATCGCCATGAATCCCCATGCATCGCCATGAATCGCCAAATCTTTAAGCCACCCTTCCCAAACCATCCCTGCTGAATCTCTACAGTTCCAGAGATACTCCAAAAACGGGGCCCGGAAGGCAGTTATGTAATGCTGTCAAGTCGTCAGCATCGTCAGCACAGGTTTCAGTCTGAGCAATCCACCCTGATCTCCGCCTCCATCCCCTGAGCTGCATCGCTGCACACAGTTTGAGGGGAAGCCAAGGCCTGAGGCGCCTTAGGGCCGCACCTCCCGGCGTAAGAGGTCCAGGCCCAGGCTACCACAAAGTGCTTGTAGCGCCGCATCCTAAGTCTGACATGTCTGACGACTCTGATACCGACTGATACCGTGATTATGTTGTTGGATCGTCTCTCCCTCTCCCTGTCTATGGCCTTCATTGTGATGTCTTCCCTGATGAGACTGACGCCATGTCAAGGAAATCGAGGTGAAAGGATGATGAGCATGGCCCACAAATTAAATCATGGTATAACCTGGTATAATTGTATTAATTGTATACAGTGATAGTGATCGTTGTATTGTTGGAATTGTTGGAGAACTATGTGTCACAAGAATACTGCAAGGACTCATCCAGAATATCTGCAGCATGCGCTGCATGGTGAGGTTGAGGCTGGCCAACGCAAACCCACAAATACTCACAGGAAGCAATGGCCAGGGTCCACGCTTCCTCTTCCTTGGTTGCTGAGCAAGTGGGCAACATGAGCCAATCACTCCTTGCAAATGTCACTGGCATTCTGAACCTCACATCACTTCAGGGATTCTCATAGGCTAATAGTGACTATCATAGACTCCATTGCTCACGATGCCGTTCCTGAAACTGGCTCAATGATGGCCAGGAAACACTGCATCCCATCAAATTACAGCGAGGCACAGCAGCACTCGTCGCATTCGTGTTCATGGCAGGCACAGTCCGCCGAATTTCAGTGTTTGGGTTACCTTCAACTCCTCAACTGAAAGTTTTTGCAACATGCCAGGACACATGCCAAGACTCTGCGGCCGCAAAATCAGCAAAAACATATCCTGACTGCAATGAAGAAACAAATTGTCCAAGTTCGGTCCTAAAGTTTTGGCCTGGGTGCTCTTGTGATGCTTTTCATGAAGTGGGTTGTGGGACTTGTGTGTTTTCAATGCCTTGGCCGTTAAACCTGCCAAAAATATCTGAATGGTCGGTGTTTGTAAGTTGTACATGGACACAATACGCATGTGACGTGATATGAGACATTGTGAGACACAATTTTGTCACCGCATGTCACCGCCTTTGAGCCAAAGCACGCAAAACTTACCGCTCACCTGGCCCGCCAGCAGGAAAGGAATGGTGGAAGCATCCAACTTTGTCGACCCTTGGCCTTCAACCTCCAAGAATTTCCAGCATAATCCAGCATAGCTCACAAGTGGTAGCCAAGAATATGGATAATATGGATATATGGATAAATATGTGATTTCAGAAATCTCCATTTGTCATGTTCCACATTGTTCCACCATTCGGTTGTGGGCCGTGGGATGTCCATGGGTCATGGGTGTGTCCTGTGAAGTCGCTAAAAACGCATGCGTACGCGGTGTGAATTTCCCTTACGTCAATTTCCACATTTGTAAGTCAATGTTTTCTTATAATTATTTATAGCTGTATCAAATCTGTATCATATTTATATATATATATATATTTATGGAGTTACGGAATGTTATGGGCACTCGCAATTTCAGAGCAAATCAGCTGCTGAAGTTGAAGATCAAATAATTGGTTTCTATATGCGCTATCTTGTGGGGGAGAAAGCGAGGCAGTCAGGCAACTCGCTGATGAGCCATATATATGCCTTTTTACGGGACACCCACGCCCTGCAAAGAAAACATGGCTTCCCTCTTCTTGAGGAAAGCTTCTCTCCACACAACTCATTATTGCTCCATGGAACTCTGTTCCACGCGTTGAATCTCTTTCCAGCACTTCTCGAACCTGCCGACTTCAGGGTTTTCGGGCATCATGCAGAAGTCAAGTGGTAGACTACCTGGTAGACTTTGGTGGACCAAGAAGGCTACAGTTACTAACACCAACCAGGAAAAATTAACGGGTGTAGAATAGTTTTTTTTGTTTTTTTCCTCAAGTTTTGGATTTTTTGTTGTTGTTTTTTTTCCTGGTAAAATTTTGCCTTGCATTTGCAACAGTTTGGAACTCTCTCTCTCTCATGTTGCATGGTATTTGCTACATTTTGGCATGGTCACTTTGCATTTTGCATGGTGTTTGCTAGATTTGGCAATTTTGCATTATATTTGCCGCATTTTGGCACTTCAACCTCTATCTGCATGGTATTTGCTACATTTTGGTACTTCAAACGTTCATGTGGGTCTCTTGAGGGTTCTTTAGGCTTTCATTTAGGGTGTCATTTAAGGTTTCATTTAGGGTATCATTTAGGGTTTCTCTATGGTTTCATTTAGGGTTTCATTTAGGGTCTCTTTAGGTTTAGGGTCTCTTTAGAGTTTCATTTGGGGTTTCTTTCCGGTTTCATGTAGGGTCTCTTATCGGGATTTTTCAGTGCAGGGGCAAAGGGGGCCGAAACGTGGGTTTCCGACGTTGCGCTGTGACGCTCCCGGGGGCGGGTGAAAAATGTAAAAAAAAATGATTCAGTGAAGTTTTCTAAACTAATATCATAGCAGTATAACAATCAAAATTTATTCATTAAAAAAACATAACAGTCCAAAAAACCAGTTTATATATTGTTAATTGCTTCATTTTTCTCAACAATATCAAAACATAATTACCTCATTCAATTTTTAAAAATCATAGCAGTCAAAGCATACTTACCTCATTCAATTTTTCAAAATCATAGCAGTCAAAGCATACTTACCTCAGTCACTTTTTCAAAATCATAGCAGTCAAAGCATACTTACCTCATTCATTTTTTCAAATTCATCAGTCAAAAGCATTATTACCTTATTCATTTTACAAAATCCTATCCATCAACCGTTCCCAAATTTTTTTTATGCTTCTCTGTTTTTAAATGTCTTGAATAACATTGTGCCTTCATTGATGAATTACATACATTACAAAAGGCAACTTTATCACGATAGTTTTGTATTTGTTCCTGTTTTTTTCTATATTCTTCATCTTCTTTATATTTAGTTCTTCGTGTTTCATTCACTTTATCTTTATGTTTGTCATAGTTCTTTCTCTTGTATTCCAAGCATTTCTTACAAGTCTTCAATCCATCTTCAAAATTATCAATTGGTAAATCTTTAACACAGTATCTACAAAATTTATCCATTACATATAAATATGATTATCTTCTTAAATGTCTTTGCCAAGAATTCCTATAACAACCAAAAAACAAAAACAAACCAAGCGAAGAACAACATAAAAGAAAACAACAAAACAATAGACAACAATAAACATTATTCCCTATCCTTTAATAACCCTATCTTACAAATCCATAATTCTAATAAATAAATATTATTAGAAATATGTTAGTAGTAAATATCTTCAATAATTATCAATTCAAAATGAAATGCTTGTATTCCTATTATACTATCTTTATCTTGGTCTTCTTCTATGTCGGCATTTATTTCTTCAGCTGCTTTATTCAATACATCTTCTATATTATCTTCATCTACATATTCATCAAAGTCATGCATGAAGTAAATTTCTCTATAACTAAATTCATTGTCTCCATATTCTTTAGCTGGGAGTTTTGCTACTATTTGGACTTCAATATCAAGTTTAATTCTAAAATTTAAATTATCTTCTTTTACTTCTAAATCAAAGATAGTAATTCTTCTTTTTCTTCTGTTATGATGTTTCCTATACTTTTTAAACCAAATGGCACTCCCTCTCTCACAATACAGTATTCAATTACATATATTTTTTCTTGGTTTCAAATGTCTTGTTATTTTAGGACCAAATCTTGATATTTTATGTGTGTTCCGTATTCTCTTCAATGCTTCACTATGCTTTATTGTCAAATATTTAGGGTCTCCAATTTCATAAGGAACGATCTTACGCAACGCATCAACAGGCAAACCCTTCATACAATTCGTCTTATAAAAATTTATATAAATAACTTTGTCTTTCAGTATATATTCCAAGATTAAAATGTAGAATTCTTTGAAAAACTACTTAAAGATAAATTAACTAAATAAAACATATACGATTATATGATGAAAAAGGTTATTAAACTATTTATTGAGTAATGATTTAGCAGAAATACCAAAACGAGGAAGAAGAGAATTAAAGTCAATAATAATAGATTATAAGAAATTCAGATACAACAAAGACAAACCAATATCTAGTGCCTAAACAAAGAAACTACTGACGGTCAAGAAAACTAATGAATACAGAAGTTATGCTTTAAACAAGGCAAAAGATGCGTTCAGTGAAGGAAAAGTGAGACAAATACTAACCAAACACGCAATCAGAAATAAATTTAGGGTCACAGATATTCAATCAGCATTTAGAAGATACGCTAATTCAATAGTTTTAGAAAATAAACACTTTCAAGGAGAAAGGGGATTAGAAATGATTGCGCACCAAAAACAAAGACTATCAGATTTTTAAAGAAATAATAGAAGCATGAAACTTAACATAAGAACGGAAGGATTATTTGAAAAACCTGAATTTGATGATGGAGGAAATGAATTGGGAAGTCAGGAACTTGTATATGCCCTACCATCAACCCGCTTCAAAATTAGTAATGAGGATGAACTGACGCAAGCATTAGAAGACAGTGTTAAACAAATCTTATTACAAATACAGAATTTAGAAGCATCAGCATCCAATTTAAGATTTAAGAAGATTTTGACAATAACCATTCACAGGAACGGCGCGACCACATAGAATTAGAGAGCTGGCCGCTGTGGGAGTGCACTTTTTTCCATGCAGTCATTACATTAATCATTACATTAGTCATTATATTAGTCATTATAAAAGTCATTAAATGAATCATGAAATGAATCATTATATTAATCATTATATTAATTATATTAGTCATTGCATTAGGCATTATATGAACCATTCCATTAATCATTATATGAATCATGATAATAATCATGATATTAATCACTAAATTCTTCATTTTAATAATCATTAAATTAATCATTATATAAATCATTATATTAATCATTATAATAATCATGATGTTGATCGTTTTATTAATCATTATATTGATCATTTTTTTAGTCATTGTATGAATTATTATTTTATCATTATATTAATCAGTATATTAATCATTATATCAATCATTATACAAATCATTAAAACATTCATTATATTAGCCATTGCAGCAATTTGCATTTATCATTATATTAGTCATTAAATTAATCATTATACTAATCATTATATTAATCATTTTTTTAATCATTACATTACTCATTATATATAAACTCATGAAATTGGTCAGTATTTTACTTATGATATTAATCATTGTATTCATCATAATAGTAATCATTATATTAACCAGTCTTTAAATATAATCATGATACTAGTCATTATAAAAGTCATTAAATGAATCATGAAATGAATAATTATATTTATCATTAAATGAATCATTATATTAATCATTATATTTATCATTCTATGAATCATGATATTAATCATTATGCTAGTCAATAAATCAATAATTATATCAGCCATTACATAAATCATTACATTAATCATTATATTAATCATTATATTAGTCATTCTAAACGTCATTAAATGAATCATGAAAGGAATCATTATATTTATCATTATATGAATCATTATATTAATCATTATATTAATTATATTAGTCATTGCATGAGGCATTATATGAACCATTCCATTAATCATTATATGAATCATGATAATAATCATGATATTAACCATTAAATTCTTCATTTTAATAACCATTAAATTCATCATTATATAAATCATTATATTAATCATGATATTGATCATTTCATTAATCATTTTATTAACCATTATATCAAACATTATATTAGTCATTATATTCATGAAACAAAAAGTCATTACATTAATCATTATATTAGTCATTATATTAGTCATTAAATGAATTTTGGTTTTTCCATGGTTTTTTTTGCAGTTTGGCCTGGGGGGCGCAGGTGTGCAAATTGTAGAGACGTGCATTTTTTTGAGAGGTACTGTGATGAAAGCATCTTCACATGAAAAACATTCAAAACAACAATGGAAAAAAAACAAAAAAAACAAAAAGTTCAGACCCATGGGCAAGGTCTGGGGAGAGGCCTGGCAGGGGACATGGGTCTGAACTTTTTGTTTTTTTTTGTTTTTTTGGTTTTTCCATGGTTTTTTGCAATTTGGCCAAAACCTCGAGAACACAAAAAAAAAACAAAAAAAAACAAAAAGTTCAGACCCATGGGCAAGGTCTGGGCTATCCACACACAAACCAAAAAAACAAAAAAACAAAAAAAAAAAAACCAAGAAACCAAAAAAACCAAAAAAACAAAAACACCAAAAAAACCAAGATTGCACACCCCAAGGGGAGGGGGTCAGATGCAGAGTGTTGGGTCTTGTCTTTTTGTTTTTTTTGTTTTTTTTTGTTTTTTTTTGTTTTTTGGTTTTTTGTTTTTTGTTTTTTTTGTTTTTTTGGTTTTTTGGTTTTTTGGTTTGTGTGTGGATAGCCATTGCAGATGTGCCAAGCAGAGATTGCCAGGCACTGTCAGTGGTTGCACTAGAGGTCGGGCAGGCAAAAACCAAAAAACCAAAAAACCAAAAAACAAAAAAAAAAAACACAAAAAAAACAAGATTGCACACCCCAAGGGGAGGGGGTCAGATGCAGAGTGTTGGGTCTTGTCTTTTTGTTTTTTTTGTTTTTTTTGGTTTTTTGGTTTGTGTGTGGATAGCCATTGCAGATGTGCCAAGCAGAGATTGCCAGGCACTGTCAGTGGTTGCACTAGAGGTCGGGCAGGCAAAAACCAAAAAAACAAAAAAACAAAAAAACAAGAAACCAAAAAAACAAAAAAACAAAA